GGCTGTTTTCCGGAACCTTCTCTTTCTGACATTCTTCAGTGGCAGAGTGACTAAAACAAAACAAAGTGATGTGTATCAGCCTAATTGTTGGTTAAACAACAGTCCAAACAGATTTGATGAAAAGAAGATTCATCCTATAACCTAAGAAGTGACACAAACTGATGAGGAAATCGTAGCACTTGACAGAAGACTACCGTATACAAGAGACAGCTGCTAGGATTCAAAGTCTTAAGTCCCAGCTCAGGCCCTTTTTAAACTCTGGCTAGGAACCGAAATGGGTTTAGGCTTGGGGCAGATGTCTGAGTCATCACTAAGTAGGATTCAGTAAGTGTAACAAGGAGGCCAGGGCAAGAAAAAGCTTTCTCACTTACTGCCATGGTTCCAGATGAATTTCTTCTCTCTGTCCTTATCTTTTTTCTTATTTACTTTTGGGTCATTAGTGGCAACTGGTTCTTCCAGAGGTGGACAAAGATCACCATCCACAGTACTCACAAGCATCTATAAACAGCACCCCCCCCCCAAAAAAAAAATCAGAAAAGCTGTTTTGGGGCTCTATGACTTATATGTTAGGTGTTGATTTTAATAATGGACCACCACCCTTAACACCAAAAAGGCAATGTAAAAGGTTACATAGAAAAAAAAACTTAAGAGGAAAATGAAAAGAGGTACCTTTCACAACTGCAGCTAGGGGAAGAATTCTTAAACAAGCAAGGTAGAGGTGATCATAAAAGATGAAATAGAAAATTTCTATTATGTAGAATTCTGAAAGCTTTTTTGTGAACAAAATCAATACAACTAGCATAAGAAGAAAAATGGTCAATTAGGGAAAACCAATGGAATCAAATATCACTGATAAAAATCTGATGTCCAAGTTATATATGGAATTAACATAGACAAAGATCACTTTGATCGCTCAAATAGTGATCAAAGGATATAAACATTTATCAAAAAAATCACAAAATATTAAAAACCACATGTAAGATTGCTCCAAATCATTAATAATTCGATTCAATGAACATTTATCAAGTACCTACTATGTGCCAGGCACCGTACTAAACAACAGACACAAAAGACAAAAATTAAACCACCCGTGACCTAAAAGGAAGTTATATTCTTTGGGAAGGAAGCAACACGTAATAAGAAAACTAAATACAAAACATATTCAAAATAATTTCTAAGGAGAGGACATTAACAACTGGCAGACAACAGACAGATTTCCTACAGGAGATGGCACTTGAGAGTTCTGCTTTTGCTGGGGGGGGGGGGCCCCATCAACTATAACTACAGTGATTCATTTCTTAGTGTCTCGTTTGTGCTTCCTATGACCTTTTCATGATGTTTGTTAGAATATGTTTTTCAACATTTTCTAACTCTGCCATCCTGCCTCTGAGGAACGTAAATGAATTGCTATTGCTTGCCATAAAACAAACATACAGGTATGCACACATTTTTACGTAGCTCTATTAATAGTTAGGGTCTTTTTTTCCCCAATGGTAGGATCTTTGTGTATTAGAAGCTTATTTACCACTCCTCTACAGAATACAGGTTAACATTCACCTGCAGAATCCCAAAGGAGAAAATGACGAGCATCCCCAGCAGAGGTCTTTGGCTCTCACTTGAGGGAAAGATCCAAGGCCATCCTCCTGGCAATGGCCAGAACTCCTGTGAAACACTCACATCCAAATCAATTGGCTATTTTCCAGAGTCCCAATGTAGCTTTAGTTGCTTTCTGATCTCTCTTCTTTCACCACCAAAACCAGAAGAGAAAATCTCCCAGTCTTCCCTTATGGCTTCAGAGGTAAATATCACCTGGGCCCACAGAGACCCACAGTACTTAGGATCACAGATAAGATTCTCCACATCTCTTATTAGCTGAACTCAAGTAAACGAGGGAACATTTGGACCCTACATTGTCACCTTATCAAACAAAGATCCCAAACCACAGATCTGGAAATGGAGATAGCAGATAACACCTCACTCCCTGCCAATCACCATCCTAGAACCCCCCAAAAGGGGGAAGCAGCTCTAATACATATGTCCAAAGAGAAATCTTTTCCTATACAAAAAAAGGAAAAATAGAAAGCCATCATGGGAGTTGCCTTCCTACCCTCCCAAACTGGATGAAGATTTGATGGATAACACCCCACCCCAATCTCTAAAAAATAGAAGTCGGACATCTAAGTCTAGTATGTGGGGTTTCTCCTTTCCTTTCCCTAGTTTGGATGTTGAGTCGTCACAAAACCATTCATTTGGAATGAGCCTTTGAGGCCCACGTAGAACCTGAAATGAATGGGAGAAACTGATTAAGCCCCCTCATTTTAAAATTTCTTCAACTCACGAAAGGCTGCCGTTTTTTCAAATGACTGCAGTGAGTGATTCTAATTGAGTTCTGAAGGCAGCTATGGATTCTGTATGGTAGAGGTGGGAAGGGCGCACATTCTAGGCGCCTGGGGAATAGCAAGGCCAGTCGATTTGGGATGCAAAGCATGTGAAGGAAAAGAAAGTTAAATAAGCTTGGAAGGGTAGTTTGGAGGCAGGCTGTGAAGGGTTTCAAAAGCCAGCTTTGTACTTTATCCTAGAAGCAAGAGGGAGCCACTAAAATTTCTTGAAGCACAACAATGTGCTTTAGGAATCTCAATTTGTGAAATAATGCTATAAAACTGAAATGTCCAAGCTTGGCCCCAAAGAGATATGAGAAAACACATCTCCCTCTCTCTCTTTCTCTTTCTTCTTTGCAGAGAGGTGAGGGGGACTATGGGTGTGGACTAACAATAATAGCTAGCATTTAAGGTTCTCAAAGCACTTCCCAGATGTCAACTGGAACACTCCAACTAATGTCAGGAGCTGACAGAGTTAGAGAGAGCATACTGTACAGAGAGAAGGCGGCCCAGGAGACCACCCACATAAGGGGTGAGACAAGGACATGGCTCAAAACAAAGGAAACTGAGAAGGAATGGCCAGGAGAAGAGCCAGGAGAAAGCAGCGTCATGAAAACCGAGGGAAGAAAGTATGTGTAGGAGGACAGCATGGCCCGATAATGTCAAATGCTGCAGGGAGGTCAAAGAGGAGAAAAAGCAATTAGCTTTGGCAATTAACAGAGCATGGTAACCTTGGAGAGAAGTTTCAGCTGACCAATGAGATTGGAAGCCAGGTGGCAAGGAGATGAGATGGCAGTAAGAGAGCGGAGGCAATGAGTGCAAACGGCTTTTTCTAGGAATCTGAAAAGGATGACAGCTTAAGGGGATGGGAGGCCAAGTGACAGTTTTTAAGATAGGGAGAGATCTGGAAATGTTTGTAAGCAATGAGGAAGGAATCAGCAGATAGCAGAGATTGCATCTTCCTCAAGACTAGAGCAAAGGAGGAGTGAGTGGAGGATGCTGCTGAGATGATTTGGAGCAAGGGGATAAGAGAACAAGAGAAATGAAAATGAAACAACTCTGAAGGTTCACCTTGTACCTAGCGAACTGAAAAGATTCCAAAAGACCTAAATAATCAATGTTCGAGAGACTGCAGTAAGACAGGCACACTCATAAACACACCTTGGTGGAATTGTGAATTACTCCAACCACTGTAGATATCAACTCAGAATTACAGAAGAACAATGGTTATATACGCTTTGACCTAGAAACCCCCTACTGGTCACACCCCCAAGGGTGTAAAAAAACAACAACAAGAAACAAAGGTGTAATACATGCCAAAATATTCATAGTGGCATTTTTTGAAATAGCAAAGAAATGGACGCAACAAGCATTTATTAAACATCTATGTGCCAGGTGTGGTGCTAAGTGCTAGAAACAAAGTGAGTGCCCACTGGCTAGGGAATAGCTGGACAAACTGTGGTATCTGAATGTAAAGAAATATTACTGTGCTGTAAGAAATGATAAAGATTTCAGAGAGACTTATGAACTGAAGCAACCAGAACCAGGAAAACAATAAACACAAAGACTACAATAATGTAAACAAAGAAAACCAACAAAACAAAGCTAACCTTTTGTGGTTATAATGACAAATTCTGGCCCCCGAGAAAAGATGAAATGTCAAGTCCCCCTTACAAGGGAGTGGGGGAAACGGGGACAGCTGGGGTGGAACGCTGTACATGCTGGCAGATGTGGCCATGGCAACTGAGCTTGTTTAACTGTTTTTCTGTTGCAAGGAAAAGCTCACCAGAAGGTGTAGGGGTTGGGAGCGTGTATCCAGAAATGACTCGGATGTAGACAAAAGGCATCAGTGACACTTTATAAAAGGTCAGAGGGTAATTCACTTGGCATTTTACTGGAGTCACTTTGCCCACGAAGCAGTACTACAAATGTAGAATCTAGCCAAAGGCTTTTTGGAGCTAGAGTACTTACCACTGCAGAGGAGGAAGTATGTTGGAAAACAGATCCCAGCATTTTGATTTACAAAGAAAACAAGAAATCAACAGCAGAGATGATGAATGAGAACCAGTCTATACCTCTATGGCCAAATGCAGGTTGCTTCAGCAGAAGATGCCAGAGAAGATCCCAGCTGCTCCTATTTTTCAATTAATGAATCACTACAAATGACAAACAGGAGGTTCAACACTCCACACGCTGGTTACATGACAAGAGGTAATGGTAAGGAACAGTTAAGTCTCAAAACACCAAAAATGAAGCATGAAATTTCATCCTTGTGTCTTTAGCCTAGAAATCAGTGATAGCAAGCAGTCATCCCCCAAATACAATGGAATACCTGGAAGATGTGAAAACTAGTGGATATTAGGAAAAGACCGGTCTACCCATACCTGGCAAATATCTGCAGTCTTGTAAAAGGTTTTCTTATCGATGGTTTTCAAGCTTTCAATAACGCAGGGCAGGTCAACCAGCTTACAGGCTAATGGGACACGATCCACATGGACAGTGCCATGACGTCCATCAGCTAAGGAATAATAAACAAAAGCTTAATTCTGACATCTTTTCAATGAACTGGAAGCCTCCTAGGGCCACAATAATGAGGACCTGCATATTAACAAGGTACATGCATTGTATTTTATTGGGAAATCTACCATTTCTTTTAACAGTAAAGCTGTTAAGAATTGTGTTATGTGTAACCTCCAGAGGGAAAATGCCAGATGGAAAGGTGTTCACAACTCCCAACTCTTCCAGGACTTGTGAATTTCCTCATTAATGTTTGAGGACTGGACAGTTTGGTGAAGCTGTAGTTTTCTGTAGGAAATTTTAAATTAATGTAAATGCTGTGCTTTGTGTTATTCTAAGCAGTCTATTCCACTCATTCAAACTAGCCTTCAGAAACATTCACATTCTAGATATAGACTATCAGAGAGTTTGCTGAAATTAGAATATTCATCACTGCAGGGGAGGCCATCGCAGATGTGTACTTTGTAGGAAGGAAAAAAAAGATGTGCTTCTAGAATGGTGTTAGAGCCCACAGCTGTGGGTTTGATCTCCAGTTCTTCACAGAGAATACTCACCCATAGTCCAGAACCGTTATTTCACAAAAGCATGCAAATCGGAAGGGAAACTTTTGTCCAGACTGTGCGAACAGCTCAGTGAAACATCACACATTATGGAAAGCACGCTTCCTTCCAATTGGGGGGGGGGGGGGTCTGAAATGTTATCTTTATAAACAAAGGCCAGCATTTGTTATTCCCTTGGATGGTAAGGAACCAGTAAGGCTGACTATATCCGATAGGAGCCAGGGAGCATTATGTCTGATCTCTGGAGGCCAATCTCCGGGCACTTCCATAGGTAGAGTGTACATAGGTACATGCCCATAGTTTCTAGCTGTGTTGCTCTTTGGATGGTTTCAGAGAAACCTGGGAAAACTCATATGAGTGAAATGAGCGGATCCAGGAGAACAATGAATGAACCCGGCAAGAGCAACACTATAAAGACAACAACTTTGAAGGACATAGGAATTGTGATGAACACAATGACCAAGTGCAGTTTCAACGTGCTGCCATCTCCATCTCCAGAGACAGAGAGAGAGCTGATAAACTTAAGAGCACAGAGTGAAGTTCTGTCCAAGGCCAACGTGGGAATTTGCTTTGTCTGACTTAAATGTTTGTAACATTTTGTTTTTTCTTGCTTTCCCAATGGTGGCGTAGGAGGAGAAGGGAAAAAATGCTAACCTGAAAATAAAATACCGAGTTTAAAAAAAAAAAGAAGAAAGACATTTCCCACTCACTTATAAGAAGAGAGAAAAGGGACCATAAAGACGATATAGACTACTTACGATGCAATTCGATGGTTAATTTGTCTTTCAGGCTGACACTTCCAGACTGTACTGCCCTTCTCACAGTAGAAGCATATTCCTGAAAAGAAGAAAAATTTATAAGACTGGTCACACGCATACCAGATGGCAGAAGAGATGGGCCAGGGAAATCCTGCTCTTAAATCTAACCTTCAACCAGTTTCTGGATGAAACACAGAGACAGCAACTACTTGGCATTCCATGGAGCCATTTTTACCATTTATCAGGATATCTAAGTCAACCCAGCACACAGGTTGACCATTATTCCTGGAGCTCCCAATAAAGGACTCCTCCCTCCCCTAGGTTCTAGGCCTTCCCCACAGACTCTCAAGTAACTGTTAAAAGTCAGGAGAGGGTCTGATCTGCAAATATTCTAGGTATACAAATTGACCCCTATCTGGGAGAAGACTTTGTTTATCCCACTGAAGGGCAATTTACACCCAAGAGTTGTAATATGTGCCATTTCCCATTAAATGCCCTTTTTTGGTCCATTTAAAAGTTCAAATCCAGATATCAAGGGGTAAAGAGGCTCTAAAACAGTATTCAAAAGGACTGTTCTTTCTAATCCCAGAGGGCATCCAGGCTTCAATAGCACAACATACTTTAATGTTCATGGAGGAGTGTAATTCAACTCTCAAACTCTTTATAAGTACACGAGCACTCTAAAACAAAACAAGCTTGGTGTCTAACTGAAAAAGGGCCTACCAATGTAGCATGATAGGGTGATATAGAAAGAGTCACAGGACCTGGGTTTGAGTCATAGTACTAACCATTTAATAACTGTGTAACCTTGAGCAACTCACTTCAATTCTCTGGACCTCAGTTCACTCACCTGTAAAATGGTAGAGTTGAACTAGAAGGTCTTTAGTACTAGAGAGTACTTTTAGCTCTAAACTTATGATTCAATTCAATCGAGATTTATTTCCTATAATGTACCAGGTACTGTGATAGCCAGGGAAGACACAAAGACCCTATGAGAGTTGATGAAGTCTATTCAAGGTTAATATTATTTGAAAAAATAGCTCTCAAAAGTAAATAGTCATGAACAAAGGAAAAGACAACTTCAATGAAGTGGATACATAGTGAAATATGACTACATTCGGGTTCTTAATGACCAATATCCTCTTAAATCATGTTTTTATACTTATCAACTGACAACCAAATGGAATCCTTACGTGTGAGAGTTTGTCTAAATTAACACAGTGTGAGTAAAAGCCACTCAAACTCAGCCTCCAGTCATTTGTTCTAATCTCCTGGGGCTCCTTACCGGAGGTAGACGTAATATAAATTGGTTCTCCAGTTCAGGAGGAGGATCCTCTTTATTCTTGCTCATTTTTTGTTCTTGAGTTCAGAGAGAGGAAAAACAAAATCACAAATAGTCAGTGAAAACCCCTTTCGTTTCCTTCAATTGTTCACTAAAGATGGTATCTCCAAATATAAGTTGTTTTATATGCACTCTAACGAGTACCAATGCCAGTATGAAATGTATACAGCCCAGAAACACTTCATTTCATCTCCACCTCTCCTCTCTAAGCAGAGCAGCTAAGTGACCCAGAGTGCTGGGCCTGGAGTCAGGAAGACTCATCTTCCCTAGTTCAAATCTGGTCTCAAATACTTCTTAGCTGTGTGACCCTGGCAAGTCACTGAACCCTGTTTGCCTCAGTTTCCTCATCTGTCAAATGAGCTGGAAAAGGAAATGGCAAACCACTCTAGTACCCTTGCCAAGAAAACCCCAAATGGGGTCACAAAGAGTTGGATACGACTGAAAGAAGTGAACAACTCCTCTCTAAATGAAAACTATTTATACTTCCAAGGAGAATTTAAGTTACACAACACAAATTCTCTTGAAATCAACTATATATATATATATATATATATATATATATATATATGTATATATATTTCATAAAGTAGAAACTACCAACAATGACATTCTACATTCTAGTGCAAAGAATCGTACAACAACGCAAGAGAGGACTCTATCTCTCTAAGAAAACTACATATCTTCTGCAAGAATTGCAGACAAAAAGGGAAAGAAACTGAGGACTGAAGTCCTCCAAAACCCTTTGGAGTAGTTAGTGGTCTATGACGTTTTGAGGAAAATATAGCTAAATCTCCCATTATCTGTTCACTTGAGTTAAAACGAGGTAAGCATCTATTTGGAGGAAAGGTAGCTTCTTGTGACTGTAACTCTACAACTAGTCTGTGTCTACCAGGTCTATTTCACCTTGTAGAGATGCTGAAGATTGTGAGTCAGTTCTTGTAAAGAAGCAGCATCAGTCTCTCTGCCTTCTAAGCTAATAATAACTTATTACACATCAATACTCCTTAAAAAAAAAAAAAGATGGGTTTAGCTTCCTGTGATATGTTTACAATAATTTCAACTTCAGCAAATCAAAGCATATCTGAAATGAATTTGAGAAACTTTCTACAAGGAATTCTACAGCAAATCCTTTTGATAGCAAAAACTCTTTCTGTAAAGTGAATAATCATCTTCCTACTCTTTTTTTGTCATTTCTAACATTCACTTATTGGATTTAAGTAGGGGTGTTATTTATACCTGGAACAGCTTAGCTTTCATAAACAGCTTCCTGGATGCCGGTGTCCCCGAGTTCTTCAGTTGAGAGGACACCTCAGGGGTGGTGAGAATGCAATGGATATATTTTTGACCTGACAATTAGGTTCACAGTTAGATGTCATCAAGGATAAAAGTAAAAAGATTTTGTGCTGTGCCATAAAACAAGCCAAAAAACCCTTCACCTTAGATTAGACAAGATAAGAAAGGCAGTGCATCACAGTGGATAAAGTATTGGCCCTGGCATTAAAGAAATCTAGATCTGATGCTTACCAGCCCTACAAACAGGGTCAAATCCTTTAACAGGGTCAAGCCTTGTTTCATCATCTGTAAAAAGGGGCTAATACTTGTAGTATCAACCTCCCAGGGCTTGGGGTTGTGGGGGCCAAATGACAAACTACATATCAGCATATTACAAAACTTTAAAGCTGGCACATGTGTGTATACATAAACAAAGGCACACACATGTGAGAATAGCATTATTACTAATTCACAAACCCCAGCTATCTCTAGGTCTCTTAACACATATGGAGCTAAAGAAGCCATGTGTATGTAGGTCTGTGGTTATAGTGGTACGTAACTGAAAGTTACGATAATAATTGCAAGTAGCATTTATACAGTATTTAAGGTTTACAGAACAATTGCCATATTATCTCATTTGATCCTCACAACAGCTCTGTGATGAAGATGCTATTATTATCCCCATTTTACAATGAGGAAACTGAGGATGAGAGAGGTTACTGTAACTTAACCCAGGGTCATACAATTAGCAAGGCCTTAAAATTAGGTCTTCCTAACTAACCACTAAGTCTGGCACTGGCACTTTATCCACTATGCCACCCAGCTATTATTCCATGTTCAACCCTAAAGGTGACTTAAGAAATTTTTGGAAAGGCACAGAATGCAAAGAGAATTTAGCATTTCATAGTATCCTTTTTCACCACAGAAGCCCAGAGCCACCCAGCATGAGAGAGGGGAGGAAAAAAACCACAAATGTATTACGTGTGATCACCATTTCTTCTCTTCTTGCTTCATACAAATATTTATACATTTTCGTATCATTCAAAAACTAAATATAAATGGAAGGGGGAAGGTCCATTAAAATAAAGCAAATAAAATAAAAACCAGAGTCTGGGGATTATATCAACCACCCTTTAACACTACTCCAACCTTCTACTGCTATGCAAACTTCGGCCACAGCAATTTAAACTGAAGACTTCCCAGTAGAGCTACTTCTATAAAATACTTTGGGTCCAGATTTATTTCTGGTTCTCCTCCGGGGGCAAAATGGTTTAGTAGGGGTTTTCCAACAGAAGGATACCCATACCTGGAGGGGAGTGGGCAAGAGAAGCTTGTCAAAGGAATATGGGGAATATTTTGATTGGATTTTTAAAAAAAATGACTTCCAATCAATGAAGCTACAAACTTTCTGGAGTACCCTTGGAAAAGTATATCCCATTCTTACTGAACATACCCATGAGGTTTTAAATGTATAAATTATATAAATCTATGAATATTTTAATAAATTATATTTCTAAATTAATCTGTTTTTTAAGTGCATATGCATGGTAAAGTCCACAATTTAGTCCCTTCACATTAAATAAGGTTTCCTGAAAGCCAACGGGCACAGGACTGCAAAAGGTTAGAAGCCCCTTGTGTGATGAAAAGAGGTGTAGTGTGTTAGGCCCAGTAGCCCTGTGTTTTATCCCTAGCTCTGCCACTTACTCGTGTGAGCTGGGGAAGTTACTTTAAACTCTCTAAGCCTTAGTTTACTAATTTGTAAAATAAGGTACTAGACCTCTAAATTCCCTAAGGATGGTGGTAAAAGGTGAGGAACCAGGGAGCTTTATTTCTCACCATTTTTTCCTGTCAGGGCTAAAAAAGGATTGGCTCTGGTAATACTGAACCTTAAGCAAGAGGATCTCACACATGACTCCCCCAGTCACCGCCTCGATGTGATTCAGTGGCAAGAGGGCTAGCTCCGGAGCCAGAGGTTCAAATCCCGGTTCGGCCCTTTACCACTTTTACTATTCTGAAGAGTCCATCTAGTCCGGGGTCTGGGAATTCGTCTTCAAATTATTTTGATAAGGGTATTTTCACATAATTGGTTTCCTATTGTAATTATGGCACTCAAAGACATGATTCTGAGAAGGGATCCATTCGCTTCACCACACAGCCCAAGGGGGCCGATGGTGCAAAAAAAAAAAAAAAAAAAAAAAACCAAAAACAAAAACAAAAAGGCTTAGCAGCTCTGGGTTACTTCCTACCTCCTCATTTTGCTGAGGAGGGTACTGAGGCCCCAGACAGTTAAGTGACCAGCCCACGGTGACACTAGCTATTAAGGGGCTGAGGCGGAAATCGAACTCAGGTCCTGAGACGCCAAGTTCAACGCTTTCCACTGAACCACAATGCCTCCCTATTTGAGGACGGTCCCTTCCCTTCGCCTCACTTTCTCCAAGTGTAAAGACAGGGGACTGGAGAGGACGGCCTCCGGGGGCTCCTTCTGCTCCTAGGCGGCTCGGATTTTCTTCACGGCTCCCAGCCCCGCCCCCCTCCCGCCTCCTCCCGCCTCCTCCCCCGTTTCTCCCCACAGAAGAGTAATGGCTCCAACTCCCGCAGCCGACGGGTCGGAGCCGGCCCTCTCCTCAAGGGTCCCGGCACACTCACCGACCCCAAATCGACGAAGACGAGCGCCGCCTCCCCGTCCGACGAGAACGACCTCCAGACGACGACGACTTGACGACGGCGGGAGGCGCAACGCCTGAGGATCTGGGCGGGCACCGGAAGCGCTTGGCGGCCCCGCCTCCTCGCCTCGCGCTCTCCGGGAGGGGTTCCGGGTGGAGGGCCGCTCCGAGCGAGGCAGCGGAAGTGGGGCGGGGGCGGGGGCGGGGAGGCTGCGGGAAGGCGGGATTTTCGCAGGTGCAGCGGGAGGGCGGTTCGCGGGCCTGCCTCGTTCCCTCCTGCCCTCCTGCCCTCCTGCCCTCCTGCCTCTCTCCCTTCCCTCCTTCCCTCGTCGTGTGCGCGAGGCGAGGTCGGGGCTTGGGGAGCACGCGCTCGGCTTCAGGAGAAAGGTAGGGGGGGCGGCGCTGGGGGGAGATAGGGGGATGCCAGATGTGGCCAGCTGAGCGGGGCCGGAAGTGAGCCAGGCGAGGGCCCTGACCTTTTTGAGCATCCCCAACAGCTTTCCCCCTCGTCATGCAAATTTTTAAAATTTTGTATCCTCCCCTTCATGTTTAAAAATTTTCTTACCAGGGATGGTTTTGGGGAGGGATATCTTAGGAAAAAAAGATTCCAAATTTTTTTTTTTTCCAAGAAAAGAAAAATCATACACTGCCCCTCCTCACACTGGGCCCTGCCTTAATGCTCCAGCAGCCTGCCCTGAGAATGGCAGAATCGGGCGGGGGAATGTGGGAAGATGCTAGCAGGGGTGGGGAACACCTCTTGAGCAGCCTCGAGGCCACGGGTGGCCCTCTAGGTCCACAAGTGTGGCCCTCCAACTCAATCCAAACTTCACAGAACAAATCCCCTTCATAAAAGACTCGAAGAGTCTTCTCCCAGGACTCAGTTTCACACCTCTCAGAGCAGGCACCCTTTCCCATCCTCGAAACAGAATGTCTTCCCGCCTTCTCACCAAACGGGCTGTGGGTTGGATTTGATGTTCTAAGCACAGTTAGGATGCAAAAATGAGAGCAACCCTTGCAGTCTAGTTGGGAAACTAAAACATGATGGCGGGAAATGATAACGGGAAATGCTAAAAATAAGAGTGGATAATATGGCTAAAGCAAATGTGGGGCTTTTTTGTGTTTCATTTTTTAAATTTGTATTTTTAGGGTAAAGCTTAATCAATGAAATTTTTTTTTTTGTTTTAAGTAAGTTTTTATTGCTGTCTTTTTTTTTATATCACCATAATTTACCTCAGTATCCTTCCCCCTCCCAGAGAACCATCCCATATAATAAATAGTATTTTAAGACAAAAAAAGAAAAAGAGGAAATAATCAGCATAACTGATCAATACGTCAAAAACAGCTTGAAAATATAGGCAATGTACAACATTTGTGGACTTCCCACCTCTGCAAAGGAGTAGGGTGTCTTCTCGTATTTTTTTTTTCCTTTGGAGTCATGCCTGTTCTTTATAATTTTGCAACTAAAATTTAGTTTTTTAATTTTAAAAATTAACAATAGTTACATTTGGGATATTTTTAGTCTGGGGGGGGAAGTCTGTGATTTTGTATTCAATAAATGTTTACCATTTTTTTAAAAATTGCCTGGACTTTCATCAACAAAATGTGTTGTACAAGCCTGTGGTATTAAGTGAATGATAAAGAGGCTTCATGCGGTAGGAAATCAGCGAAAGAAATTATTTATAGCTAAATTGGAGTTTGAGGAATGGGCTGAATTAATATAGGTGAGAAAATGGGTGAAAGAATATAAATCTGAACATAGGGGTGGGACTAAGAGTAGAGAAATTGAGAGAAGGGAGTTAGGGGATTAGGGATTAGGACTGGTTGAATTGGATTAGCAATAGAGATCAGAAACAATAATTTGAAATTGGAAGATTGGAACCATTGCAAGACAGCCATTTTTAGGAACACTGAATGCTGGATTTGTCCTGTAAACTGGAGGAGAATTATAGAGTATCAAACCATATCACTGGAGAGTTACTCTAAATGACTAGAAGCTGAGTCCAAAAGCAAGACTAATATATAGATTTCCATCTATGTACATGCACATTAGACACGTGTAGCATCTCTTCAGTATTCTTTGATTCGGTACTCCTGCTGCTCCTTAAACAAGGCCCTTTGGCCTTTTTTTTTTTTTTTTTTTTTTTTGTCTCCAAAATCTCAGTCTGTTTCATGGTAGCAAGCAGACAGCACACGTGTGGCACCAATTCTGTATTTAAATTGCCTACTCAGTGCCTTAGTTGACGAATGTTCATGGATGAGGAGGAGGAAGAAGATGTGATAGTTTGCTTGCCTTTGAAAAATCAACTTTAAAAACGCATCTAAACCTAAAACATTTAAGCAGCTTCAAGGAAAAAGCCAACCCACCTGTCCATTTGCTAGGGATGGACTAATGAGGTGATATGCACAAGAGCTAGGATTAAAGTTGAAGCAGTTTAATTGTCTTTATAAAAAGTCAATGGTCACAGTCAAAAATAAAATTCCTCAAAATACTGAAAAATAAAATTATTCAATTTGATCAGTTGTCTCAGTAAGTTGCCAAGACCTTCTTTAGCCAGCTGGTTTGCCCACTTAGTGCTGTCCTCAAAAGGAATCTTTACCATCTGATCTTCACGAATCCACAGTGTAGATGTTGAACTTTGTCAAACGGCAAGTGTCCTCAAATCTGCTTTTTAAAAATCCCAACAGGACCAGTGCTGGCCAGAGATGATGGCTGGCCACAATAGCTTCTATATTGGTCTGAGCTTGGCTGTCAGCTCCAGCATTTTCATTGGTACAAGCTTCATCCTGAAGAAGAAAGGACTTCTTAAGATTGCCAGCAGAGGCTCTGTGAAAGCAGGTATAGCAGACTCTTTATTCCTGGGTTGGTTTGTCAGAATTTTTCTTTCCTCTTGCTTCTCACCTTTGAGCTGAAAAGATAGGTGGTCTAAGATGGAAAGGAGGCTAAATGGGAATCTGTAGGTATTGTTATTAGCATACTTGTTAATTGGCTCTTAGAAAAGATTGAGATGAGTTCAAGGGTAGTTTTTAGGATTGTTTCTGAATTTGATTTCTCATTATCCCAGGATTTTGAAGGCGCTGTGCTGAAGACATAGTAGTTATTCACTAAACCTGTAAGGGTAAGTGATTTAAGGAGGACAGTTGTCGGGTTCAGATTTTTAAAAGCTTGTGGCATTCAAATTCTTTTATTCTGAGTTTGAGGTCAGAAGTTGCATAGTATAGACCAGAATTAGGCTTTATTTACCTGAACTCTTGCCCTTTGGTGTGTGCTGTGCCGAGACCCAAAGCCCACTGCCTGGGGCAAAATTTCCCTTCCCTGGATATATTGAAGTGACTGCCATGGGTACTGGGTGCTGTGATGAATCTTCTGCATTTGGAGATTCACAAGTTCTGGTCAAAATGCTAGGTCTTTTGGGGGCTAAAAAAGAGAAAGAAAATGAAAAATCTTTAGGAAGTTGGCAGGAGGAATCCAAGGACCCTCCAAGTTATAGCAGGTCAGGAGGAACAAGAAAATTGTCTTTTCGTATAAAGAAAAACGTCCCAGTTGTTGTTCTCCTTGATTCCAGTCCTTAAGGCCTGGTAGGTGTGTAACTTCTCTTCCTTCTATTAGGTCATGGCGGCCATGCATACCTAAAGGAGTGGCTCTGGTGGGCTGGACTACTATCCAGTAAGTTTTTTTTGGTTTGTTCATGAAATTGCAGCCTGAAAGATAAATATCAAAATAAGGCAACGAGTTATTTTAGAATAAGCTGGAGAGATGACCATTCCACATTAGGCATGCAAAACAGTTTTTTTTGTACTGTAGTTCTATCTAACCAATTGTATTCTGGCAAAGATACACCTAAATATGCATAACAGATCTTTAATCACATTGATTATAACCTGCTCTGATACAGACCAACAAGCACTCGTGATTTCCTTTTGCTCCCAAACGAATGTTTCTTTTCCGATATCATGAACACGAAAATGTGTAAGTATACTCACGTGTGGTCACATAGGTAGAGACCCATATTCGCTCCCTGTTCCCTTATGAAAAGCCTCTTTAATATCTTTCTAGCTCCTAGTCCATTTTCCAAGTAGACAAATTAATAGCAGTTACAACGCGGCTTCTGAGGCGTTGGCTTAAAGTCACAAAACTTGGGCCTCTCACTGCTCACAGATGTCTTCCTAGTTCTGTACAAATCAGGGTGACGTTCAGGGCACAAGTGCTAGCATGAGACGAGGATTACCTTAGTGTCTAACACTTGGAGGTGCCCAGGGGCCTTGAATGCAAATCCTGACTACTCGGGCTTTTGCTCGAGTAGAATGGTCTCGTCATCATCTCAAAATGAAATGCTCCATCACCTCCTGTTAGCTCTGCTAAACTTATTTAACTTTTCATCACACAGTCCACATTTGTTGATGCATTGTGCAGTAGGAATTAGGGTGTAATAAGCAACCCTTACTTACTGAGGTTATACTCTCAACCTGCCAGGGCAGCAATCAGTTGCTGGTACAGGATCCTAATTTCACTCCTGCTCAAGGATTTATGTCAGCAAGGAAGAAGTTGCATAGAAGAGCTAGGTACAGAAGAGTTTATTAAGCAAGTACATATAAGAACCCAAGACTTTGTGTTAGGTAGGTTTGACTTTAAAAACTGTACAGATGAATGAATGAATGAATAAATGAAGTATTTATCATGTACAAAACACTAAACCAAGCCCTGGGGGGTACAGATAGAAAAGTCAGACATTCCATGCTCTTAGGGAGCTCACATTCTGTTGGGGGGAGAGGGAACAACCCATTTGGGAGGTTTCTACTGCAAGTGGGATGGCAAGGTCCCAAGGTACAGTGGCCAAGCAGATGGTCAGGCCTCCTCTTTAATGGTATTTCCAGTGTTAAAAATCATATCAGTTTCTGGTGTTGAACCATTGGACAGGGTCAAGGACTTTGGTGCAAGAACTTTCTTTTCTAGGTCTTCAGTAACTGTGTCTACAGCACCTGCTGGAGCAGTGGCCAGGCTGCCCCTCCGAATGAGTTACTGCCCAGGGTTTATAGCTGAGGGCACTGGACTGGAAGAAATGCTATTCCCAAGGCCTTTGGGTTCAGGGTTCTGGCCTCTCACCATTGGGATCTGAGGGGAGATGGTGGTCAAGGTGGTGATGGTGGTGGTTTCACTTGTCTGGCACATGCTGCCTCCTGTTTTTCCCTCAGGGTGCCTGACTGCTTCATCTAGGCTGGCTTACCTGCCCTGTGTGTGACAGTTGGTGGGGCTGGCTGGCCCCTTCTCCACAGGAGTTGCTTCCCCAGACGATGGCAGGACCGGTGGTCTGGGAAGTGCTGCCACTCCCAGGGCTCCCGTGCCCATCCGCCTGTTGGTGGCCATTGGTCAGCATTTGTTGCTGGTGGTAATGAGGAAGGTGGGCTCCTTCTCCACAATGATTTCTCCCCTCAATGATGGCTGTGGGGGCTGGGCTGGAAACAGATCTGGTGGTTTGGGGGACATTGTTATTCCCAAAGCTCTTGGGTTCAGGGTCCTAGACTGTCTCCATCAAGATCTGATGAGAGATGGTGGTCAACCTGTAGTTGCTATTGATAATGTTGTACTCATGCCAAGTTTAGCTTGTAATGAAGATCACTTTCCTAACCAAGAAAGTTGTTTCTCCTTTGCAGTGGGAGTCGGAGAAGCTGCCAACTTTGCTGCCTATGCTTTTGCCCCAGCCACACTAGTAACACCCCTGTGTGCACTAAGTGTGTTAGTGAGGTAAGCGATGTTCAGGTGCTTTATTTGAGTCTATGTCCTAGCAACCTGAAGTGATGATGTATTATTGGTGAAAATATTTCCCCAATATCCTTGTTTTCTTGCATTCTTTTCCTAAGTTTACTTACTGGAAGTGTTTTACTTCCTAGGAGAAAAAAGCTTTTCTTTCCCTTAACTCTATCTGTTTTGGGGAGAAAGTTTCCTTTTGGAACTTCATGAGTCTCCTATTGCTATGAATCCTTTTTCATGAATAGAGCAGATTGTTTTCTTCCTGCCCACCAACCCTGGCCCAACTTAAGTGACTGTTTATGCATTCACTTTTCTTTTGGTTTTATTTATCTTCCTGTGTCCTCTGCTTTTTCTCCCCTTCTTTCTTTCTTCCCAGGATCAGCTTGGTCCAATTAAATGCTTGGCTATCTCACTCCTGTTGAGGTTTTATGTAATATAGTGAATATAGTTCACTCTTGTGAACCTGGCTGTTTTCCCTGGCACTTAGAATCCTCCCTGTGCTGAGGCAGTATGGTATTGATTTATAGCTGAGTGTTATTGATGAAAGAATCTCTGCCTGGGTGTATTGACATGTTTTATGTTTACCCGCAGTTCCATTTTGTCCTCTTACTTCTTGAATGAAAAGTTGAACATTCATGGGAAGATTGGTTGTGTACTAAGTATTCTGGCCTCAACCATGATGGTGATCCATGGCCCCCAGGAGCAGATGATCTTCACCTTGGCAGAGATGTCTGAGAAGCTGAGAAGTCCAGGTAGCAGAAGGGAAATTCTAACATGATTTTGATTTGAAATACCTTAGTATGACAAAGGCCTTGGTTGGAATTTTAGTTGGGAGAAGGTAGATGGTTTTGGTAGCTCCTGCTTTCAACGCTCTTCCAATCCTACTCTGGTGTCTCATTGTGATATGGAGGTGGCTGTGGTTTCTCTAGACTTGTGCAGGCTCTGGTATGTATAAGTTCTCGGCTGAAAAGGCTTCGAATATGGTTCTGCTGACAGTGTCCGCCTTCCTAAATGTAGCGCAGCAACTCATCAGTTGGTTGGTCACTAGCCAATAAAGGCTTTGGTCAAAGCAACCAATGTAGTCCATCTTCTACTTTTGATTCTTTGTTTTTCTAATTCACCAAACTCCAGACTCTCAGTACCTGCCTCTGTTTCTGATTACACTAATTTGAGTACATCTGGCAGAAAATCAAATTCCATGGCAACTTCTTAGAAAATACTGCCTTGGAAGACAGGAGATGAGAGGAAATCACCATCTCTCTCTAGGATACTGAACAAGAACCTGAATAAGAACACCCAGGCAGGTGGCAGTTGCAGCCCTTCCCTGAATCCTTTCAGACAGAGATAATTCATGATGTTCTTTTTTTTTTTTTTCCAAATAGTATGCTTCAATCTGCATTCAAACTCCATAGTTCTTTCTTTGTATGTGGATAGCATTTTCCATCATGGGGCCTTTGGAAATGTCGTAGATCCTTGTATTGCTGAGAAGGTTAAGTCTATCAATATTAGCCATCGAACAACGTGGCTGTTAGTGTGTACGGCATTCTCCTGGTTCTGCTTACTTCACTAAGCATCAGACCAAGTCTTTCCAGGTTTTTCTGAAGTCTGCCTGTTCATCATTTCTTATAGTTCAATAGTATTCCATGACATTCATATACCACAACTTGTTCAGCCATTCCCCAATGGATGGGCATCCTCTCAATTTCCAATTCTTTGCCACCACAAAAAGAGTTGCTATAAATATTTTTGTACGTGTGGGTCCTTTTCTCATTTTTCTGATCTCTTTGGGATACAGCCCTAGAAGTGCTATTGCTAGGTCAAAGGGTATGCACATTTTTATAGCCCTTTGGGCATAGTTTCAAATTGTTCTCCAAAATGGTTGGATCATTTCACAACTCCACCAATAATGCATTAGTGTTCCAATTTTCCCACATTTTCTCCAACATTTATCATTTTCCTGTTTTCTCATGTTGGCCAGTCTGATAGGTGAAACTCACTGTGTTCTGATGCAGGCCTACCCTCATGGCTAAAGGTAGTTGGTAGGAAGTTTTTCCCATCATCAAACTGAAATTTGCCCCTTTGCAGCATCTCCCCACTGCTCCTAGTTGTGTCTGGGGCCAAGCTGAACCAGTGGCATTCCTTTTGTTTATAATCATCTTGACACGGCTATGCTGTCCCGTCTCCCCACCCACCCACCCACCCCGTTCTTTCAGCTAATCTTTCTAGCACTATCCTGGTTAGCCTCCTCTGAATGTTCTCAGGCTTATCACTGTCCTTCCTAGAATGTAGTATCCACAGCTAAATGAACACAGTGTCCACAGTGAAGGTGACCAGGGCAAAGTGAGGCAGCAATGCTTACTTCCCTAGTCTTGGACACAGTGTCTCTCTTAACGTGCTTCAATGTTGCCTTAGCTTTTTTGGCTGCCATTTCATAGTTGTTCATTGGGCTTGTCGTAATCGCTACACCCCAGGCTCTTTCAGAGGGACTGTTGACTAGCCATCTTGTACTTGCAAAGTTGATTTCTCTTAATCCAAGTATGAGGCCACATGAATTAATATTTTATGGAAACATGAAATGGGGTAGGCATGCCTGGTTCTTTAGATACTTGCCAGGTGAGACCATGATGGCAGTGGGAAGTGATTAAACCTTAATAAGGCACAGAGGGTGGAGGGAAGAACAGGCACAGAAAGTACAGAGACAATCAGCGAAGAGGGATACAAAGGCTGACAGTGGGAATGGGGGATAGGGTGGCAGAGGAAGGTCGGCATCGGAGGAGGGGGAGGGAGACAGGTACGGAGAATCACTTGAGTAACCGTGGATTAGAGTTGGGAACCCTTGGCAGCATGGACCCAGATGGAGGGCAAAGAATTCGAGGTCTCGTCTTTATAGCTTTTTGAGGGGAACAGACTTACTCTTAATCTGTGCCACTTTGGAATTAGTTCCTTAACATATTCATGTCATCTCAAAGTTATCAGCAGCATTTGGTGTTCTGCTGGACTTACTGGAGATGTCGGGAACTTCTCTAAGATTTCTATATCATAGGAGCCAAAGGCCTGACAAGAAAGCCCAGATGACTTCCCCTGAGTCAGCACATATTACCAGGATGTGATTTTTGGTTACAATACGATACAGTTTGTAAATTGTGCTCCTTTTATCTTTGGAACAGCTTGTTCACAACTTCTAGGTTCCCCTTTGCAATCTTGTTTCCTGCTATTGCCACTTTAAACTGGCTCCTTATAAACATACTTACCATGCTATGTAGAAAGGAGGGAGAGGTGGCCAGAGGAACCAGAATAAGGTACAGTTTTAACCCAACACATCTTTCCCAATTCAATATAGTTTACCCCAGTGGTCTCGCCTGGTGAGGTCCTTTAGATTCCTAATTCTGTCATCATCAGCAAGTTGATAAGCCTTTATCCAAGTCATTGGTTAAATAATGTTCAGTGCATTGAGATAGGGCTTATGGACATCTCATTCTGGATGTTCCAAACCAAACTCATGGGGGCAGCTAGGTGGTGAAGTGGATAGAGCACCAGCCCTGGAGTCAGGAGGACCTGCATTCAAATCCAGCCTCAGACACATAACACTCATTTAGCTTTGTGACCCTGGGCGGGTCACTTAACCCTATTGCCTAGCCAAAAAAAAAAAAAAAAACAACAAACAAAACAAACTCATTACCCACTTAACTTTGCCCTCCATCCTAACCTCCTTGTTTCTGTTGATAATACTACTTTCTTGTCACTGGAGACTGAAACCTTGGGTTCCTTTTTGCTTATTGGTTCTCAGCAAAGCACCTATTATGTAAGATTATAGCACCACCAAGGACAACACTTTCTTTCCCCTCCCCCTTTGTTTACCTTTTGTTTTGCGTTTGTTGTCTAGGTTCCTAAATGTTCTGAAGTAATTTTTAGGTGTGAAATTATTTTCACATTTTGTCTACCAGCTAGAAAGGAAGTTTAAATGTAGGGAAGAATCCAATTTCCCCCCCTCCCCCTCCCAAAAAGTAGCAATGCCTCCAAACTTGGAAGGGGACTTTTAAGATCATTGAGTCTGATCTCAACTCTACAGTTGTTTTCTCTCTTCTGTGGAGGATTAAGCAAATTAAACAAATACCTGCTAGCTCTGTTTCTCCATTATTTTATCACATTTCTCAGAGTTCAAGGTGCATTTCATATAATTACTCAGATTTAATAATTCATATAATTTCTAACCTTTTTATAATGTTTTGGACACCCTAATGTAACCCTTAGCAGGAGCACTACTTCCAGTTGGAGAATCTATTAATTTGATAGCTCAAAATCCTGTTGGCCATTTTCTCCATAATGAATTCTCTACTAATGTACCTAAACCCTGATCTGTTGTGTGTGTCCCCATCCCCCAGTTTCCTAATAGGTACCTCTGACGCAGAAACTATCCCTCTCTTCACATTAAACCTTTTTTGATGGGGACAGGTAGAAGGAGAAAATCTAGAACTAAAATCTTACTGGTTAATATGATTAAAGGACAGACAAATTGATTCACTGTTACTCTCCCTGAGATGTATATGTTTTAATGATTTGGCATTTCTTATGCATGTCAGACATGACTGAGATGACTGAAGGTCAACAATAAAAATGTGTAATAATAGATTTCAAATTTTTATTGACTGAATTGTCTTTTTTCTCAGGATTCATTGGATTTGCCATATGTGTGCTGGCCAGTTCCACTGCCCTCATCTTTGTGGTAGGACCTCAATATGGCCATAGTAACGTCCTGGTGTACGTTCTGATCTGCTCCTCAATTGGTTCCCTTTCTGTGTCCTGCGGCAAGGGTTTGGGCATCTCCCTGAAGGAGCTGTTTTCAGGGAAGTCTGTCCTGAAGGAACCCCTTGGTTGGGTGCTGCTGTTTTGTCTGGTGGTTTGTATAAGCATTCAGATCAACTATCTGAACCGGGCTTTGGACATTTTCAATGCCTCGCTAGTCACTCCCATCTATTATGTCCTTTTCAGCACAGCTGTCATGACTTGCTCTGCCATTCTTTTTAAGGAATGGCAACATATGGTCCTAGACAGTATCATTGGCACAGTCAGCGGTTTCCTAACCATAGTTTTTGGCATTTTCCCTCTTCATGCCTTTCGGGATATCCCTTTTTCTCCTGACCTGATATATTCTTCTCTGAGGTCAAGTTGAGGTAATTCCCATGCTCCTCCCTGGAGGAAAAACAAAAGGCAAAATCAGCCTCTTCTAGATGGACGTGATCCCAACAAAGAGTTCCACAACATTGAGGTCGAAGAGGTTGAAAATCTGTGAATGATCTTGGGCAGAACACTCTCTGTTTCTGTTGGGTAAGGTGGCCTTTGTACTTTTACTTAAGATCTGCCCGGGCCCCTGACATCCAGCCAGAGCAGATCAGGAGCAAATTAATACCTAACTAGTAAGCAGTGGGACAGCAGAACCTTCCCAACTGCCATGTTGTTGCTAAAGTCTCATTTGCTTCACTAAGACATGCTGCTAGATGTATATGTGGATGTATATGTACGCTGGTGAAGTATTTGTGAAAAGAACCATCTGTCTCTCATCACTAGTTCATACAGAAACCCAAAAGCACTGATGTTAGTCTGATTTACTTGTTACAGTTTGAGAATTCGAATGTTTTAAGTGTTCAGTGAATGCTAGGGTTTTTAAAAATGTTTTTAAAGGTGTTTTTTGTGTCACTTTTAGTGCTAACTGAATCCTGACCATCCTGAAATTTGTATCTAGGACTTGAGTATAATTACTGATAACTGCTGGCTGCTACCACCTGCCTGGTAAGAGGATTTAATTCTAAAAACCACATTCCAGAGATTATTAACCCCCACCCCCATCCCACCCCACCCCACCCCCAGTAGATTATTTAGCTACCCAGAATGTCTGTTGCAGTCCTAGCTGACCTGGTTATATGCTTAGAGAGCTGGTTCTGCCCGATTCCTGTAAACAATACCGTTAAAGTACATTCCGAGTTGCTTGTAAATGTAAAGTGTTCGAGACCAAGGAGAGTAGCGGCTTAAATGGCCTCCAGTGTGTGTTTTTGGCTTGGCTTAGAGCAAAGAGTTCCCTTGTCCTTGACCATTTCACTGAAGACTTCCAAATTCAGTGGCAGCCTCCACACGAGGACAAACAGCAGTTACAGGGATTATACTTCCTGTCTGCAAATCATCTTGGAGTTTGGAGTGCTCTTGCCTAGAATAGTAGTGATGTACTGAGTCTATAGGAGGCTCATGGTGTGTTTGAAAGAAATAAGCAATCGCTAGAATGTAAGCTCCTTGAGGGCAGGGGACACTCTGGTTTTTATTTTTGTATCCATATTTGATGCTTAATAAATGTTGACTCTTGATGAGCAACATAGGCATTTCTGTTCCTGTTCTTCTCGGGATAGCTTCAGCCTCCTTTCCAATTCCAGTTCCAGTCTGGGGGAAATTGAAACAGCAGTGTGTGCCTGCGACTTTGAGCTGTTTCCTCTAGCTAGTGATAGACTCCATAAACAGCCTTACAGAAAACGTCCACGAACCATCTCTTTGTCACCCATTGAGGACATAGGATTTCATTTCTCCAAAATCTTAGTTTTGGAGAGTTGCCTGGAGGAGACCAAAATGAATTGGCTTGGCCAGGGTCACACAGCCAGTTTAACAGATAAGAGCCAAGCCCAGCCCTCTCTACCAAGCCAGCTGCTTCATCATCTGTATTAGACAACTATTGGTTAATCCATGATCCCTGCAAAGGATATGACTTAAGTTATTATGTATAGCTGAAAGAACCTAGAATTGTTCTATTTGTAAAGCATCATAGGAGTGAGAGCTGGTCCACTTCCTTCATTTTACAGGTAAGAAAGCTGAGACTGAGATTGATGAATCCAGGGTCACACAGACACTAAGGTCACACAGATGCAGCCTTTGATGATTCCGTTTCTCAAGAAGGGCAGCAAGGTGACACTGAAGTGGATAGAGTGGATGGGGCTAGAGTCTGGAATACTCATCTTTCTGAATTCAAATACAGCCTCAAGACACTGCCTAGCAGTGTGACCCTGGGCAAGTCACTTCACCCTGTTTGCCTCAGTTTCCTCATCTGTAAAATGAGCTGGAGAAGGAAATGGCAAACCACTCCAGTATCTCTGCCAAGAAAACTCTAAATGAGGCTTGCAGAGAGTTGAACATGACTGAAAGACTGAACAAAAACTGTTCTCTAGGGGAAAGAAAATTTAGTGATACAGTGGGTTTTGGTGACTGAACTGAGTAATAAACTAATTTCAAATTTACATACTGATGTTGCCTAAATTTTGTTGTTATTGGTAAGCAGCACCTGTGAAGTGGCTTCAATGTGTAAGGCATGGTGCTGGCATACAAAGACAAGGAATTATTTGGCAACGTCACTGTGTCCATGAATCACCATATATAGAACAAGAAAAACTAAAGAGAGTGGCAGGTTCGGAGGGGAAGGTCAGATTCAAGGCTGAGTTGGGAGCAGAGGCTGCCTTAGTGCAGTGTCAAATCATCACACTTGGAATGACTTGGGCAGCCTAGCTATTCCAGGATTTAAGAACAGGACCAGGCTAGTAAGGTCACTTATTAAAATTAAGGCCTTAAAAATAAATAAAATCAAATCAAATCCTTTGTCACCCAATGCCCCTCCCTCCAACTCAGGATGGTTCAGCTTACCTCTCTAAAACCTTTATCAGTACAGTCTGGTTTTAATCACTCCTTTACTGGAGTAACCCCAGCATTTGCATACTTAGTTTGCCCTTTGTTTTGCATGTTATCTAGGATTCTACATATTCTGAAGTAATTTTCATGGGTTAAATTATTAAATTATTTTCATATTTTGTCCACCAGCTAGAGAAGAAGTTTGAATGAAGAGAGAAGTCCAATTTCCCACCCCCAAGCAGCAATGCCTCCAAACTTGGAAGGGACCTTTAAAATCATTGAGTCTAATCTCGACTCCATGGCTGAGAAAGCTGAGGCCCGGAGAAGCTGACTTGCCCAAAGTCTCTTCTTAGCTTGGGCCCTGATTCCAAACCCTGCTCTTCCACTATACTACTACCTCCCCTCTAGTAAGTAGTTGGGGATACACAGCTAAGATGTGTAACAACTCGAGTATTTCTAAGCCAGTGGCCTCATGCTTTGAGATCTGTCTAGGGAGGAGTGTGGCTGGCAGTCATTACTTTGTTCTGCTTTGATTATCTTGGGGAAATGTAAAGCAAAGCTCATATCCCCACAGGTTGGAGGTTCTTCCAGGACTTGTGCCTTACAACAGTCCCTCAGCAAATCCTCATTGGGTGACAATGTTAAGTCCTGGCACTAGCCCCGGTCTAAGTTTTAACTGTCAAGACATCTAGCTAGTAGAGGCAGTGATGTACTTAAAATAGACCTGGCACTGGAGGTAAAGGACGAGGCCTCGAAGCCCCAGCTCTGTCGACTGGGATCTTTGGCCAGCTCAGGATTACTCCGAGTTGTCTGATCAGTGAAATGGGAGTACAGTACCTACAAGTATCCTGTAAGTTATGACGGATGCCTGAAGTACTACAAAAACAGGTACACAGGTGTTGAGTGGTGAGAACCAAGGAAAGAAAAGTTTTCCCAAAACCATGTCAATCTGAGGCAAAGGGTTTTATTTCAGTGATCATGATCAGAAGATTTGCAATAAATGGAACAATGAATCAACACATTAAGTATGCCCCTCTGCCTGAAACTATGGCTAGCTGGGGTGGTGGCTGGTTTAAACCTTTACAATAAATTCAGGCACATCTTTCAGTCACTTAATACCCTGAAACTCAGGGCAAATTATTCTCATTTTGAGACTGCCAAGAGGGAGGCAAAAGTTATGTTCACTAGATAATTAAGCTAGATTTCTCTGTATCCAAAGCCCTCTTAGCCTCTCAGCATTGTCTACTGAGATGTACTGTATACAGGTATTTAAAATAAGTCACAGTAAAGGAGGAAGATGGATACCATTGTAAGTGAGGTGTCTAGTCTGGGCACTGTATTACAGATCTGCCCAGCCCTGATTAAGTCACAAGATGGATAAGGAGGCCTGAAACTGCAGTACCAAACGGCTTCTCTCCTCCTGTTGCTAGATGCAAAGATGTATTATCTCAACCCCACCCTCCCACAGGTTTGAAATTAACATGTACAGATGAGGGAGTCTATCTATATGGTCCCAGTTTGAATACCTACAAAGAAGCCAATGGAACATTAAGAACACAGCCCTGTGTACAGTTTAAATGTATCTAGTAGTCTTCCATTCCACTGTCCAAAATTTTCATAAAACTGGCATTTCAAAACAAAACACAACCCCCAGACTCACAAAACTGTTCTCTGCTCATTCAGATAACAGAATATCCCAAAGGCTGGGATAAAAGATGGAAGCCAATCTCCCCACAGCCTTTTCTTTTACAACCATCCCATCACTAGTTCTTCTTTTCTTGAACTCTAAAGTTCTTTTGGAAAAACAGAACAGAGAGCTGTTCTGAAATCAGTCAGACAGGCTTTCTGAGAAGGCTGGCCGGGACTTCTGTGTCTGCTCCAATCGGTTCAGGATGAACTGGCTTGTGTCAATAAATCGCTCCACGCAGTTCACAAAACACGTTTCAGCTCGACTGTCCAATTTGGGCCCAGGCTTGTCCATGCACTTTTCCTGCACAAGAAAAGATCTGGTTTTACATATACCAAATTCCAGAGGAGAAAAAGCATAGTATAAAAAGAATCTATGAGGGCACAGCTAGGTGGTGCAGTGGACAGAGTACTGGCCCTGGTGTTAGAAAGACCTGAGTTCAAATCCAGTCTCAGTCCAAGACATGACATTTTCTAGCTGTGTGACCCTGGGCAAGTCACTTAACCCCAACTGCCTTGCCAAAAAATACACATACACACACACACACACACACACACACACATTTATGACAGGGAACAAGAAACCTGATTCTGAATACACAAGAATACAACAATTGTGAAAAATGCAAAATGGCCCAATTTGGCCTTTTTGCTGCTGAACTCAGTTCTAGCCCAACAAAGTTCATAGTGCCACACTGCTTCTGAATTAACTGAACATTGCAAAGGGTAAAGGGGGATGAGGCAAGGTTTCCAAAACTTGCAAATTCTCTTTGTTCTGAATTTAATTAGATCAAAGATCTCAAGAGGCATTTTTCTTGGCCACAGCCGGGAAATGCTTTGGAAACAAATTACTACCTGTAGTTCAATGCATGGGGCTCAAGTCCCATACTTGATAAAAGTCTGTACTTTCAGTTGCACAGACCTACATAGGAATACACTTGCCTCCCAGCCATTATCCCAAAACAAAACCTATCCCAGCACCACCTCTTAGTTCTATGGAATTTTTTGCATACGGAAACAATGGACACCAAAGGTAGTGACATAAGCTGGCCAAGTTTCACCTAACCTTTGGGCTGGTACACTTTGTTCCCCAAACGACTCATCAGTGATGTGAGAGATGGAGGACTCCACCTCCTGGGCTGGTAGTCGTGTATGATCAAGAGACACCCTGAAGTGGAGGTCCAGAAGTGTAAAAGTTCTCCCACTCCATGGGATTTGGGCTTCCAAAAAAGAAGATCCCAGTGCAGAGATGGGCTCCAATTACACTCTTTACCCAGCTGAGCACTACCAAGGGGAGGGGCGGGGGGCGAGGCGTCTCGGGGAGATCGGGTTTCCGTTTGCACCACCAATCTAGCCCCCTTAGAGCTGCGTGAGGATCCCCGTTTCCCAGAGAAAGGAGGGGTCACTTTAGTGTTCGAGGTGGGGGACCTCCCTCCCTACCTCCCCGTGTCCCTGCGGTCAGGCAGAGAGCAGAGCGGGGCAGGACGCGGAATAGGTGGAGGGTCCCAGGCCCCTAGCTTCTCACCCAGCACAGTTCAGTCATTTGGTGCACCAACTGCTGAAATCGCTGCTTTTGAGTTTCCACCTCGATGAAATGCTGCAGCTGCGGGTCCACGGAGCCCAGCCCCGCAACTGACGATGAGGAATCCATGCTGACCTGGACCCGCGCACAACCGCGAGCCCGCCAGCCGCAAGAACCCACCGACCTTCACGTGTCTTCAGGGCGGAAACGGAAGCAGAACCCACCGGCTCCGGGACCGCCCCGCCTTCTCCGAGTCCCCTCACTAACTCCTCCCTTTCCCCCTCCCCTCCCCTTGCCCTTGCCTCGTGCGTGTCGCGCCTGCGCATGGTCTGGGCCAATGGCTGGGCGGTAAAATTGTAGCGAGCGCACAAGCTCGCTGCGCCTGCGCATGGCCTGGGCCAATGGCTGGGTGGTAAACTGTAGCGAGTGCACAAGCGCGCTGCGCCTGCGCGTGGCCTGGGCCACTGGCTGGCCCGTAAACTGCAGCGAGCCGGGCCCGCACCGCCCAACCTGCGAACTTCCCGCGTTAGGACTGGCTGCTTGGGCGGGGCGGAGTCGGCCCAAGGGGGCGGTCTCCGAACATGTTAGCCGCTTCTCGGTCTTTTCGCTACTACCTAGGGCCTCAGTTTTTTCTTCTGTAAAATTGGGTTGTGCTGAACATGGCGGTCTCTAAGACTCCGGCTTATGCTGCATGAAACCCAAGAAACCTCCTTGAAGCGCTCCTTGAAGGGCCAGAGTCCTAAAGACCACAGGCCAACATTAAGTAGGCCTTCCCCTCACTGGGCCTCAGTTTCTTGTAAAATGAGGGGCTTGCACTAAGATGCCTTTCAAGGGCCCTTCCACCTTTAATTGTATCATAGCAGATCACAGAATTTGACGTTGGAAGGCCCGCTAGCCACCTATTACCCTACTTTAGGATAACTGCAATGGTTAGAAAGTCTTTTCCTGACATCAAGCCTAAATTTCCCCCCTTCGTTGTTCTTGCTTCTCCCCGGGGCCAAGCAGAGCAAATCTAATCCCTCCTGCCTGTGACAACCCTTCAAATACTTGCAGACAGCTCTCATGTTCCACAGTCCCCTCTAAGTTCCTTCAAACAATCTTCAGATGATGTGAATTCCAGACTCGCTATCCTCTGAACTATTCGGCTTAAAAGTCCTTAAAAGGTGGTACCCAGAATTGAACACAGTGCTGAGAATGTGGTCTGCCTAAGGCAAAGGACCTAGGAACTGTCAGTCAGTCAACAAGCATTTATTAAGTGCTTCCTATATACCAGGCATTGTGCTAACTGCTGGGGATAGAAAGAAAGAAAAAAATAGCCCTGCCCTCAGGGACCTTACATTCTATTGGGGGTGACAACATGCCAACAACTAAGCACAAATACTATTTATGTCATTATGTATAATAAATACACATATCTAATATGTAACACGGGTCCCCAAGCCCCTTGGTATGGGACATGGGTGGAGATCAATGCCCTGCACCTGTGTAAAGGGCAGGGAAGCATTGGTGAGAGAGAGCACAAGGGAGAGGTTCTTTGCCAAACTCTTTCTAAAAGTCTTTTCAAGCCTCTTCAGATTCTGCAGTAGCTTCTGGCACTTCTGGCTTCCAGCTTCGAGAGAGAAGACGGAAGGTGCCAATCCCACTTCAGGTTGCTGAAGGAAAAATAAAACTCTGGGAAGATGAGGTAAGAGGAGCCAGCAGCCTCCACCTGGTCTCTATCCCCAACTTGCTAGAGACTTCAGGGAACTTCGGGTTGGGTGAGATCTGGTGTTTGTGTGTCTCTCTCAGTGAGTTACCTGGCTCTCAGTGGTAGAGCTCCTTCACTCTGCATTGTTTGATATATATTCTCCTATGCATACTTTATCTGATTTCTGTTTGGCTATCATTGGATAAATGGGTTTCTTCGCTATTTACAATGCATTTGTGTTGTAGAAGTGATGGGAAAGGTGGGAAGCCTTTCATGTGAAGCTGGGGTTCTCTTTGCCCCGTTAATGGAGAGCCATCAAAACTTCAGCTTGAACCTGAAAGCCATATCCCTAGAATGACACTATTTAAGGAAGCAGGTAGATCTAATTCTAGCCCCGTAGCCCCTCCCTCTGAGGAGAGCAGAGTGGCCAAGCTTCTGGCTCCAGCCTCCAGCTTACTCTTCTGGCAGGAATTCAAGTCTCCCTTGGAGAAGGGTAGGGGGAGCAGACACCAGAGAGATCTGTTCAGCTTTCCTTTGAATCCCACACTGGCACCTTTCTGCTACCTGTAGGGGACAGCCTTCACTACAAATATGTATGATGAAAATGGGAGGTGATCTCAGAGGGAAGGCCTATCAGTGGGGTGGGCTGGAAGAGGCCTCTCCACGAAGGGGACATTTGAGCAGAGACTTGAAGGGAGCCAGCAGGCAGAGGTGAGAGGGGAGGGCATTCCGGGCATAGGAAACAGGCAGTGTAAAAGCACAGAGATGGGAGTTTCTGTGCCAGGACTTACAAATAGGATAGTGTGGTTGCATTGTAGAGTATGGGGAAGGGAGCTAGGTGTAGAAAGACTGGAAAGGTAGGAAGGGGCCAGGTTGTGAAAGGCTTTCAAAGACAATCGAAGGATTTTACATTTAATTTTGGAGGTAATAAGGAACCACGGGAGTTTATTGAGTATGTGGAGGAGAGGGTGGGGAGGTGACATGGTAAGACCTGGGCTTTAGGAAGATCACTTTGCCGACTGAGCAGAGGATGGATTGGAGTGGGGAGAGCCTGGAGGCAGGCAGACGCCCCCAGCAGCTACTGCAGTAACCCAGGCATGAGGTGATGAGGGCTTGCACCAGGGTGGGGACAGTGTCAGGGGAGAGAAAGACAGGCATACCAGAGATGAACAAAGATGTTGTGAAGTTAGAAAGTACAAGATTTAGCAGCCCATTGGATGGGGATTGTGGGGAGGGGAAGGAAGGGAGTCATGTAGTGGTGAATGTCAATGGATGAAGACAGTGAAGTTGCAAGCCTGGATTAGTGGGACAATGGTGGTGCCCTTGACAGTAATAGGGATGCTGGGAAGAGAGGATGAGTTTGTTTTGGACATTCTGAGTGTGAGATGGCCAAAAGGCAGTTGGTGATGCATGACTGGAGGAGGCTGGGAGACAGGTTAGGACTGGATAGATAGATCTGAGCATCATTTTCTTAGAGACACTCATGTTTTCCCCTGGGAACTGGCAAGCTCACAAGTGAAAAAGTATACAGAGAAGAGAAGATGGATCGGGACAGAACCTTGGGAGACCCCCTAGGTTAGTGTGCAGGAATTGGCATTAGATGAAGATTCAGCAAAGGAGACTGAAAAAAGAGTGGTTTGATAGCTCGGAGAACCAGGAAAGAGCAAGGTCACGAAAGCCTAGAGGGGAGAGAGTCCCCAAGAGAGGAGAGTGATCCACTGTCAAGGGCTACAGAGGAAGTGAAGAAGGATCATTGAGAAGAAGCCGTAATTACGTTTGGCATGAAGAGATCATTGGTCATTTTGGAGAGTGCTTTCAGTGGAATGATGAGGTCAGAAGCCAGATTGTAGAGGGCTTAGAAGAAAGTGAGAGAAAAGGACAAAGAGGTACAGGTCGAATATGGTTTTCTCAAGGCACCCCATTCCTCGCAATTATGTCTCTCAGTGCATCCCAGGATCACATTACCAGGTCGCCATACCCCAATGCCAGTGATTCATATTGTGTGCATCCTGGCCTACACTGAGAAATATTCTCTGGTTTTCTAGGAGGCTTTGGCTGAAAATCAGATGAATTAGGGGTCAGATGGAAAAAAGAGCTGGCTAAGAGGCTTCATAGTTTAGTGCAGGAGTGTGAAACCTGCGGCCTCGAGGCCTGTTACCTTCTATTTCTCCAGTATATATCTTACAAATACATAGTTACTGATATGTTGTATCCTCCATTAGAATGGGATCTCCTGGAAGGTAGAGTGGAATGTGTTTTTGCCTCTGTATATTCCCATTGCTTAGCACAGTGCTCCCCATCTGTACATGCTGGAATGCTGACTGATTGAGCCTGGGCAATTTACTTAGTCTCTCTGTGTCTCAGTTTCCTCATTTGTATGATGAGAAGATTAGATTCATTGGCCTCTAAGGTTCTGGCCATTCAGTTTGTCTGAATTGATGATCCAGTGGAAGTTATCCATTTCCCTCCCCCCTATTCCCTGTAACCTCCGAGGACCCACACCCTGGGAATCTTAAGTCTTAACTCCCTGATCACAGGCATTCACATTAAGGCCGAAAAAAACAGCTTGCTCGCAGTAATCCTGTGAGGCAGGCACGTGTGCCTTGCTTGTGTTGCTCAGTGCCGTGGGAATCAGAACCTCTGGGGATGCTTTGACTCTCAATCAGCCTTCAGGTCCTGCTTGTTGAATGAATCCAGTCAACCTTGAGCTCTTCAAAGCAGCAAGAAGGAGGCTGATGCCATAGTTTTATTAGCGTAGCAGAACTTTTCTGCGGTTCTGAACTCAGTGGAATGTAAGCTACTCGAGGGCAGGGCCTTTTTTTTTTTTTAATTTTGTCTCTGTTGCCAGCATTTAGCAAAGTGCTTAGCTAAGAGTAGGGACTTAATGAATGTTTGTTGGATTAGAATGAAACTAGGAATGATAGCTTTAAATTATGCAGAGGCAGATTTAACCATCAGGGCTGTGGCATGCTAGTTGGGACTGCTTTGTATTTGCTGTGTATCTGTTTTGCATGTGGGAGGCAGTGTGGTGTGTCTGTTAGAGGGCTGGCCTTGGCGTGAGCCTGACCTGGGTTCAGATGTTGCAGTTTATACTTTCTTGCAGCAGGACCATGGACAAGTCATTACTTAGTCACTTTTAAGGCCCCGGGCCTCTCTCTAAGCCAAAAGTTAGAAACATTTGAGCAGGCTCTATCAGTGGAGAGAGCTGACAAACCAGTTCTCTCTACCAACAGAAATCACAGGTCCTGACCAAAATACTTTGTATGGACTCACCTTTCTCCCAGTTAGGCCTGTTTTGTTTTTCTCCTGTTGTTGTTTTCCAGTCGTGTCTTGGCAGAGATACTGGAGTGGTTTGCCATTTCCTTCTCCAGCTCATCTGACGGAGGAGGAAACTGAGGCAAACAGGGTGAAGTGACTTGCCCAGGGTCACAAGGCTAGGAAGTGTCTGAGGCCAGATTTGAATGAAGGAAGATGAGCCTTCAACTCCAGGTCCGGACTCTGCACTGTGGCGCCACCTAGCTGCCCTGTTTTTCTATTAGCCCAGTGCTTTGCACACCCGGTAGTGTGAACTTGTTGGATTAAGTGCAATGGAACCTGATGCAAAGAAAGCCCTGCTTTTGTGAAGACAGTGACAGCTCTAGGAGGGCTGTGTGGTGACGAAAGATGACGGAGAACTGGCCGATTTTTTCCCAAGCAGTTTTGTCAGAAACAGTCCCTTACCCACGCTGTCATTATGACCACCTCTTATTACAACCAGCTTAAGGCCACCCAAAGGGTTTATTTGCGCATATGCACACACATCCACACACACATTCATTACAAATCTGGTCTTATTGCTAGTGGGGATTTTTCTCTCCTGGAGCAACAGCATATTCTGAAGAATGGAGCTACTATTCCTCAGCTTTTGCCCAGGCCAGAGAAAGTCCCTGGGGATCAAAGGTGTGAGCCATTCTCAGGTGTATAGTGCTGTTGGTGGAGCATAAAGGCTTTTCTCCCTACCCCCACCCCCTCCCTCTCCCCCTTCCCTTCTCTTTCCCCTCCCCCTTCCCCTTCCCCTTCCCACCCAGGCCCTGGAAGCCTGGAATTTCTTCAGAGAAAACTGAGTGAGCAAATGGAGCAGGGAGGGGAGATGAAAGGAACTGAGAGGTGGGCTGAACAGCTCAGGAGTCTTCATCCATCACATCCAGAATGTTGCTCAGAAGAAGTTTGAAAGTGGGGCGTTCATCTGCTTTCTGGACTCAAAGAGAAAGAATATTGTCGGGAGGGGGCAGAAATCATGGACCTCCTGGCCAGGAAACACAGTTTTATTTGTATTCTATGCAAGTGCATTAGAGTAGTGTGTAAGCCACAAGTCCCCAGGAATTGGGGTGACTCCTTCTTTGCCTTCATTGTGCCCCATGCCATCTGGTCAAGGTCAAGGGGAAACAGAACAGCATGGAACCTCTGTTCTGACACCAGCTCTCCGCTCCATCCCCCACAATTACACACTTCTGTGCCCACATTCTACTGGGGAAAGGTGAAGTGCCAAGGGCAGGAAGGCCTAAGCCCAGCCCAAGACCTCAGTTTGGGTTGCCAAGGGTTGAAAAGTGGTTATGAAGGTGCCTCTAGAAGGGAGTAGGGGAGGACTTAATGGGAAGTAGGAAGGTTCCCTGCTTGAACTAAACACCATTTTGTTTTGTTTTGTTTTTTAAGAATTAGGCCATTTGAAAATAATTTGCTTTTAGGCCTTAGGGTCCCATAGCCTTCATTTAGGATCACAGAAAAGAAAGGTTGGGAAAGGCCCAATGGCACACCCAGGAGTGGGCACTGAACTTTCCACTGCTTTCTACAAATGAGATGAGACATGGCTTAGGCCTGCTTGTGTGCATTTGGCTGCCTGGCAGTAACTTGTGGTAGGACATTTCAACCCACTTCACAAATGGTGAGGTAGCCCTAGGTTCTCTAGGAATTACTAAGGGGAAAAAGGGATCTGTGTAGCGGGCAGTCTGAGGCCAGGTCTGATGTGTCCTGGAAAGTGTGAAATGGGAACCTTGTCAGTGGCCTGGGAAGACTATTTGTGCTAGTGAGAAGAAGGCTCACCTCGTGCCAGCAGCTGTACATGATGGTATACACTCGTTCTGAAGCCAGCTGAGGCCGATAGAGCCTGAGGCCTTTGGCAATGTGTTCTGCTGTTTCGCTGTTACTAAATCTCTCATACGGCATCTTCCCCAGAGAGTAAATTTCCCACATCAAAACCCCTATGAGGCAAAAAAAAAAACCCCAAAACAAAACCAAAATTAATTATGTGTGTGTATGCATACACACACACACACACACACACACACACATGTATATATAATATGGGCAGCTAGGAGGCAAAGTAGATAGAGTGCCATGATTGGAGTCAGAAAGGCTCATCTTCCTGAGTTCAAATCTGGCCCCAGACACTTCCTAGCTATGTGACCCTGGGCAAATCACTTCACCCTGTTTGCCTCAGTTTCCTCATCTGTAAAATGAGCTGGGGAAGGATATGGCAAATGACTCCTGGATCTTTGCCAAGAAAACCCCAATGGGGTCACAAAGAGTTGGATACGACTGAAACACCTGAACAACATGTATACTTACACTTAGTCTCTAGTCTCTAAGGATGATACCATACTTGATACATATGTGCCTCACAAACCCCTTAATGTAGTTCCCGATAGTCTAGACAATAGGCCCTTGGAGTGTAGCATAAAGTAAGTGATACCTTTCATGGTGATGTGGCACAGGAGAGCTGACTTACTGAAGGAGAGACCTGGGTTTGAATCTGTCCTTTGGCGCTTACTGGCTGTGTGTTCATGGAAAAAATCACTTAGTCTCTCTGAGCCTCAGTTTCCTCATTTATAAAATGGAGCTCACAATACCTACAATACTCACCTTACTTACAGGGCTATTGGGAGAGTCATAGAGTGGGAATGTAGGGAAAGAACTGTGGACCCTTAAAGTACTTTAGAAATGGCAGCTGGGATGATTATTTGAGCTTTTCCCATTTCTTCCTCTAAACTGTTTCTTCTCTGTACTACCTTATCTACTCACCAAAAGCCCAGATGTCAGATTTGCTACTGAACTTGCTATACATGAGGACTTCTGGTGGAGACCACCGAACTGGAAATTTGGATCCTGCCGAGCTGGTATATTCATCATCCAAGACATATCTACAAGAGATTTAGGTCAAACTGTTGATGCCCATCTTGGGATGTGCCTGGACCTCTGAACAGAGGCAAAAAAACCAGACAAGTGTAGGATCAGCCACATGTCTCATGTTGTCCAACCAATCTCTTCTGGAAGAAATTGGGCAAAAGATATTCCGGTTCTTTTCACATCAGGACAGAAACTGAGGCCCAATGTCACTGGACAATGCTGTGCACAACTGTCTGCTTTCTTCTTTCTTTCCATAGCTGATGAGGCTTTCTGAGTTGGCTTAATTGCCACATTGTGTTGGGAATCCCCAGGACTACCTTCTCCAGTTGGTGGTGAGAATTACTAGAGTGACTCGGAAAAAGTCAGGTAGTAAAGACAGCAAGGGTATGAGAGAAGAGAAGGTGAATAAAAGAAATGAGGTAGAGAGGAGGCAGGGCCAGAGACAGAGACATGGGCAAGGAGAGGAAAAGGTGGAAAGAGAGGCTGGAGAGAGTGCTTAAAGTACTGCGAAGGGAAAATCCGGAAGCTAGTGAGAAATACCAGACTGAGCAGCAAGGAGAGAAGATGAAAAAGCCATAGAACATTTCCATTTTTCAAGGAGACCAAAGGGATGAGGATGAAGAGGCACACTGACCTGGAGAGACCGAAGTCAGACACTTTGACAACCCCTCGGTCGTTGACCAAACAGTTTCGAGCAGCCTGTGGAGGAAGAGATGCCAGTGAGACCGCATTTCCCTGAAAATGCACTGGAATCCCACCAGTGGAATCATTGGGGGCACTTCAGAAGTGTTTGTTAAGTTATTGTTACATATATATGAGACAGGTTTTGTTTCTTCTGTGTGAGAAACCTCTTGAAACCCAATGGGATTGTCTTTGAACTTTTTCTGTATCCCCGGCACTTAGCACAGTGCTTGGCACACAGTAGGTATTTCAAAAATGCTTGTTGACTGACTGCGAGCCTAGCTCTGATTCTGCTTCACAGAAATGCCTGAATACGTAGATAATGAATGAAATCAGTGGGCATACAAATGCAGCTGGATTTCCTTCACACACACATAGTTATGGAATCCATTCTTCTAGGGAGATGTTAAACTAGAACTAAATAGGGGCCAGTTTGGGGGCTCAAGGTAATTTGGGAGTTGGTCTGGGCAGGGCTGAGCAGCTGCACCATTTGGAGGTACTCCCGGAGTCTTCATGCTTTCCTAAACACTAGGAACATGAAAATACTGCTGACCTCAAAGGTTCCATCCCTCCAGCCCCCACTGCCACTACCACTGGTGGAAGGAAGGGGGGAGACACAAATGTGGACAACTGATGCCAAACCCATGAATCTTTGCCACCGAGGCCAAGGCAAAACGAGCCGTTCTCCCACTCACAGTGAAACTGAGAAAATGGCACGGGCTAACCCAGCTCATTCCCATCCCCTAAATCCCCGCCTGGGGTGTCTTCTGCCACCCGTGTTCTGTCCCCCTTTGCTATCAGCCATCTCCTCTTAGCATAGACCCCACTGTTTCTTCTGGCTCTCTCCATGCTCTATAGAACCTCTCACCTGTCCTGTGCCGTCTGTACTGCACTGGGGGCTTACCCTAAGGTTTTTCCCCATTATAACTGAGGCAGAGGAGGTGTAGTTTGCCATGCATCTGTGCTGCTCCACGTAGGCTTCAGTGGAAGGCTCGAGTGAAAGGACAGAGCTCCACCCTGCCTCTCCTCAAACCCAGTCGTGACTCATCCACCTTAACCACAGCTCTCCTCACACTCTCCCCCACCCTGCCTCCTTTGCAGTCACACAATCCCCCAAGGTCCTACTAGATCTCGGTGAAGGAACTGCTTAGACTCCAGGTAGTCCATGGCCTCACAGACGTCCCTGCACATCTCCAGCAACTGTTGGGTCTGGAAGCGGTGCCGCATTTCCCTCAGGTAGTTCAGGAGGCAGCCATTGGCCATGTATTCGGTGATGATGAAGATGGGACGCTGCTTGGTGCAGACCCCATATAACTGGACCAGTTTCTCATGTGACAGGTTCCTACAGGATAGTTAATAGATCCAGCCTCCCCTGTTGCTCCACAGAGCAGTCAAGGAAAGGCTGGGGAAGACAAGGTCTGATGAAGGAGCCGAGAAGTGGCACCAGAGCAAGTGCCTTTCTCCATCCCCTCCTCCCTCCGGCCCCCGGCTGTGCCCCAACACTTTGAGACTGGCACCAAGTGGAGACTTGCAATTCCTTAATAGAGCAAAGGAGTAAATCCAACACAGGACAGTCATGGAGACCACCTACTTGGGAGAACTGGCTTTAGTCCATTGCAGACTGGCTGTGGCAACATCATTTTCCACTCCCACCCCCTTAATGCTGCTGGAGGTACGACACCCCCAGGACCAACACTGTTCTCAAGGGACATCTAACCAGAGACAGAGCCTCCCCCTTGTCACAGTGTGACCCCAGGTCCTAGTCCCGGACCCCTGAAGTTGCACGTAATGTACGGCACACTCACATCACAGTGTAGCGTGCCTGCTGATATAGACACCAAAGGTTGGATGGAGAGTTTAGGCAGTAACTCACATCATGACTTTGGCCTCCTCAATGAACTCATCCTCTGACATGGAGCCTTCTCTGATCATCTTGATGGCTACGTCATATTGGCCTCTCCATTTCCCATACTTCACCACCCCAAACTGGCCAGTCCCCAGCTCCTTCAAGAATGTCAGGTCCCTTGGATCAATCTCCCATGACCCTATAACAAATAGCAGCCTCTGTGTAATTCTATGGCATAGGAATCACACTGTAGGGGAGGGTCTCTGCTCAGGGGAGGAATGGGATATGGGCTCCAGGGAAAGTCTCAGGAGCAGAGCAGCAGCGCATCTTTCCTCATAGGGCCACTCTGGGGTTCCTCGCCTGGGGTTCTGGGATCTTGGAACTTTGGAAATAAGATAAAGAGATAGTAGAGATGAGCCTTTCAGGGGCCTTTTGAGCCCTGACAGCCTACAGTTCTGCAGCCCCTGTTTCTCCTGGTAGGGACCAAAGCCCCAGGGAATCATGCAGAGAACAGAAAGAAAGAACTGCTTGGAGCCAGCTCAGTTCTCCTGGAAGAGGCATTGCATGGCAATGCTGCAAAAAGGCTCACTATGGGGAAAGTCAAGACTGGCCCACTTCCAGCTCGATCCTGCAGTCACTGAGAGTTGGGAGGTGAGGGTGGGGGGTGAAAGGCACTGGATTCAGGTCGAGAAAGAAGCAGTTACCATAGCCCAGCCCCGCCGTGGAGGGAGCATTCTTGTTCTGGTGAGACACTGGATACTTGAGTCTGGAGATGAGTCCTGAAATACACAACGGTGGGTTACACCTGCCCAACTTGGCATCTCATTGTGCCAGTGCCCAGGTGGCCACAGGTGGGCAGGAGAAGCTGAAGGCCTTATACACAGAACTGCCTTGTTCCGGTTGACTTCCTTAATCCCCCATTTCCTGCAACATCATGGGATTGATGTCTGTTCTCCCCCCCAGCTTTTCCCTCCTCCTCCTCTCAAAAGATATTTTCATGGAAGAGAGAAAATATAGTCCTCATTATTAATATACTCCTAGAATACAAACCCAGGTCAAGTCTGACATTCTTAGACAGCAAGGTAGGCCTGTGTTCAGGAAGATCTGAGTTCAAATCCAGCCCTGGACATTTACTAGCTGTGTGAACACGGGCAAGTCATTTAGCCTTTGTTTACCTTAGTTTACTTATCTGTGAAATGGAGATAATAACAGCACCTACCTCCCAGAGTTGTGAGGATCAAAGGAGATACTATTTTTTTCTTGCTCTAATAAAGTTTGTTTTATTAATTGATTTTCAGTTTTTAACATTCACTTCCATAAGCTTTTGAGTTTTAAAATTTCTGCCCCTCCCTCCCCACCTCCCTCCCCAAGACGGCTCGCAATCTGATATAGGCTCTACATATACATTCCTATTAAACATATTTTCACATCAGTCATCAAATGAGATACTATTTATAAAGTACTTAGCACAGTGCGTGGCACATAGTAGTGCTATATACATATTAACCATTATTATAACTATTACTCAAGGCTATTTTTTTCTGCCTGCTCCAACTCCAAATGATTGATTTCCCCCTTCGGCAAACTTCCTGGCCACACAAGCTAGTGCTTAATTACATACTGTTTTCTTTTTTTTTTCCTTTTGGACTACAAGCTTCATGAAGGGAGGAGTGATGGCTCACACTGAGTAGCAACATTGGTATTGTGGGTAGAGGGTCTGAGCTGGAGCCAGGCAGACCTGGTTCGCTAAAGTCTCTTTCTGATGCTTACTAGCTGTGTGACTATGGGCAAATCACAGTTAACTGCTCTGAGCCTCAGTTTTCTCTTCTGTAAACTGAGGATAATTACACTTCTTCTAGTACTTCTCTCACAGAGACAATCTATGGCAGGGGAGCTCTTAAGACTTCTCTGTGTCATGCCTTCCCCTCTGGTAGGCTGGTGAAGCTTGGGACCCCTGCTCATAATCATGCTTGTTGCCGACATTCATAATTGAGAGATATGTTAAATCTCAGGCAGAAGCTAGTAAAAATCAAGATTTTGTTTCTTTCCCCATCCAAGTTCACAGACTTCTATTCCACAGACCCCCAGTTTTGTTAAATTTAAAATATACTTTAAATTTTTTTTATTCATTTTAAACTTAAATACAAAATGAGAAAAGAAAAAACATTTTCACATACACAGCAGAACATAAAGAGAGGATTCAATACAAAACAATAAATTTCCATTTCAAACTGTTTACATTTGTTTGAAAACCTATATAATAAATACTATACATTGTTTTCAAAGCTACCCTGCTTTCTGTGTTTCCTTCTAAGTTTTCTTTTGTTCTCTGCTGTGTACTTTTTTCTCCCTCCTTCCCCACCCCGCCCTAGAGAAGACTACAATGAAACAAGACTATATACATCTATATATATATATATATATATGTATAGACACACACACACACGTATATATGTATATAAAACCATACTATACATATTTCTATTTGGCAGTTCTTTCTCTGGAGATAGATAGCATCTTCCTTCACAAGTCCAAGTCTTTCCATGTTTTTCTAAAATCAACCAGCTCGTTATTTCTTATATCACAGTATTATTCCATCACAATCACATACCTCAACTTGTTTAACCATTCCCCAATTGAAGGGCATCTATCATTTTAGCCAATCTAATAGATGCAAGATGCTATCTCGAAGTTGTTTTCATTTGCATTTCTCTAATCAATAAGGATTTAGATCATTTTTAGATGCCCATATAAAGTTTTGATTTTTTCATCAAAAACTGCCTATTCATATCCTTTTATCATTTATCAGTTGGGGAATGACTCATATTCTTATAAATTTGACAAAGTTCTTTATATATTGAGAAATGAAGCCTTTATCTGAGAGATTGTCTATGAAAAATTTCCCCCAATTTTCTGCTTTCCTTCTAATCTTGGCTACATTGGTTTTATCTGTACAAGAACTTTTTAATTTAATATAATTGAAATTATTCATTTTATACTTCAAATGCTATCTTTTGTTTCTTTGTATATTATTCTCCTATCCATGAGTCTGATAGGTAATATGTTCCATGTTCTAATTTTCTTGTGATATCTCCCTTTCTATGTAGGTCATGTATCCATTTTGACTTTATCTTGATACATGGCTTAAAATATTGGTCTAAATCCAATTTCTGCCAGACTGCTTTCCAGCTTTCCCAACAATTTTTACCAAATAGTGAATTCTTATCCCCAAAACTTAAATCGTTGCATTTGTCAAACACAAGGTTACTATAGTCCTTACTACTGTGAAATGTGTATCTACTCTGTTCCACTGATCTACCTTTCTGTTTCTTAGCCAGTACCAGATAGTTTTGATATTTACTGCTTTATAATAGTTTGAGGTCTGGTACTGCTGATTCTCCTTCCTTTACATATTTTTTATTAGTTTCTTTGAAATTCTTGACTTTTCATTCTTCCAAATGAATTCTGTTGTTTTTTCTCAGTAAAATAATTTTTTAGTAATTTAATTGGGATGGCATTGAATAAATAGATCAGTTAAATTTAACATATGCTTTTTTATGAAAAAGCCAACATTATGATAGATCCATCATTTAATATATAATCTTTTTAAATTTTTCTTTGCATATGGAAACATTCACATTTGTTAAGTTCATAATAAAAAAAGTGCTTTATCAATGTCACCAGCTATAACTATAATTATTTTCATATATTACCTCTCCTGCAGGCATCTAGTATGCTAATAACAGGAAGAAATGGGCATTGATATCAGGTTTTAAAGAGACTAAAGCCTTTTGAATTCATCATCTTATTTGCTCTACTGGGGCCATATTAGGTAATTCAGGGACCTTCACCACTTCCCAACCTCATGGATGCACTTCCTTAGCATCATGCTTTGAAATGAATCAGGCCTTTAGTAACCTTGTGTTTAACAAATGTAAAGATTTAAGTTTTGGGGATAAGAATTCATTATTTGGTAAAAATTGCTGGGAAAGGTAGAAAGCAGTCTGGTAGAAACTGGGTATAGACCAATATCTTACACCATTTACCGAGGTATGGTCAAAATGGATACATGACCTAGATAGAAAGGGAGATATCACAGGAAAATTAGAAGAACACAGAATGTATTACCTATCAGACTTATGGAAACGAAAACAAGAGATAGAGAGCATTGTGAAGTACGAAATGGATAATTTAGTTACATTAAATGAAAAAGATTTTGTGCAAATAAAACCAATGTAGCCAAGATTAGAAGGAGAACAGAAAGTTGTGAGAAAATTTTTATAGTCAGTTTTTCAGATAAAGGTCTCATATCTCATAAGATAATGAGTCATTCTCTAATTGATAAACGGCCAAAGGATATGAACAGACAGTTTTCAGATGAAGAAATCAAAACCATATATAGTCATATGAAAAAATGCTCTAAAACACTATTGATTAGAGAAATGCAGATTAAAACAACTTTGAGATATCATCTTACATCTATCAGATTAGCTAAAATGATAGAAGGGGAAAGCAACAAATGTGGAGGGGATGTGGAAAAATTGGGACACTAATTCACACTGTTGGTGGAATTGTGAACTGATCCAACCATTTTGGGGAGCAATCTGGAATTATGCGCAAAGAGTTATGAAACTGTGTATACCCTTTGACCCAGCAATGCCACAATTAGGTCTGTTTCCCAAGGTGATTAGGGAAAAAAGAAAAGAATTTGTATGTTTTAAAATATTTATAGCAGCTCTTTTTGTGATGGCAAAGAACTGGAAATTGAGGGGATGCCCATCCATTGGGGAATGGTTAAACAAGTTGTGGTATATGATCGTGATAGAATACTACTGTGCTATAGGAAATGATGAACTGGTTGATGTTAGAAAAACATGGAAAGACTTGCATGAAATAATGAAAAGTGAAATGAACAGAACCAGGAGAACATTGTATACAGTAATAGCAATATTGCTCTAAGAACAACTTTGAACGACTAAGTCATTTTGAGTGTTATAAATACTCAAATCAACTATAAAGGACCTATGAAGGAAGATGCTATCCACATCCAGAGAAAGAACTGATAAATAGATGTATAGTATGGTTTTACATATATATACATATTTGTGTCTAATGGTAGCTTTCTCTAGGGCAGAGGAAGGGAGAAAAAAATTTTAAAGTGCACAGCAAAGAACAAAAAAAAAACTTAGAAGAAGCATAGAAAAGCAGGGTGTCTTTGAAAATTATGTGTAGTATATAGTTTTTCCCCCCAAAAAAGTAAACAGTATGAAATGCAAATTCATGTTTTTATATTGAATCCTCTTTTTTTTTTGTCTAGGCAATGGGGTTAAGTGACTTGCTCAGGGTCACACAGCTAGTGTTATTGAATCCTCTTTTTATGTTGTGCTGTGTACATGGAAAGGTTCTCTTTTTTTGTCTTACTGTGTTTAAGTTCAAAATGAGGAAAAATTAAAAAAAAAATTAATCAGCCACAAATCTTCCTTGAGGATCAATTGTGTGCAAGCTGCTGCTGTGTGCCTCCCTCAGCCTCCATGAGGGAACTCTGCTCAGAATGATGAGCATTTCAGCTGCCCGTGTGCCCCCGGCTGCTTGTAGCCCTTTCCTGTGCAGACCCTGGTACTCACCGGCAGAGTTGTGCTGGTGGTAGTTGATGAGTTCCGGAATGGTGCTGAAGAGGTGCCTCTCGGCCAGATAATATTGGCTCTGAGGGGTGGAACACACGACGTAATGGCGGATCACCCCTTGAGGATCTCTGGGGAAGTGAACACACAGTCAGGAACTTGGGACACACACAGTGAGGAGCTACAGACTCCAGAGAAAAAGTGGCCTGACGGGATGATCAGAATGCAAATGGTGGGAGGAGCCCACCCCTCTCACACGACCAAGTGGCCCTTCTTCTTGCCAAGGCAAACGCCCTCGATCGCATTCCAGCCCATCTTCTCAAGCAGATTGCCCTCTCCATCACCCCCACTTTCCCACGTATCTTCACCGTCTCCCTGTCTGTAGGCATGTTCCCTGCAGCCTACAGACAGGCCCACATCTCCCTGATCCTCACAAAACCCTCACTTGATCCCTCTATCCCTGCTAGCTATCATCTTATATTTCATTTCCCCTTCCCAGCCAACCTCCTTCATTCCACTGAAACTGCTCTCCAAAGTTACCAGTGAGCTCTTTGTTGCCAAATCGAATGGCCCTTTCTCGATCTTCATCCTTCTTGACCTCTCTGTCGCCTTTGACACTGGTGATCACTCTCTTCTTCTTGATATCCTCCTCTCTAGGTTTTCTGGTGGTGGCCACTCTCTCCTGGTTCTTCTCCCTCCTCTCTGACCATTCCTTCTCTGTCTCCTTTACTGGATTTCTCTCTAGGTAGGCTTACTAACTATGGGTGTTCCCCAAGGCTTTGTCCTTGGCCCCCTGATCTTTTTCACTCTATACTATCTCACTTGGTGATCTCATCAGCTCCCGTGGGCTCAGTTATCATTCTTATGCAGATGATTCTCAGATCTTTGTATCCTCAGAGCCTAGTACAGTGCTTGGCACATTGGAAGTCTTTAATAAATGCTTGTTGACTGACTGATTCTCGGGACTTGTCACTTACCCAGCTGATTTGGTAAACACAGACACAGTGTATTTTCCTGCTTTGCTGGAATCTCTGACAATGAAACCACCTTCTTTACCCTGGAATGGAGAGAAAGAAGCCAAGATGACTGAGGAACAAGTACTACCTACATCCATCCTGAACTTCAGTTCCCTGTTGCTAGTTGCCATAGCAACTGCTGAGCTTAAGTATAGTCAAACATTGCATGATGGCAACCTCATCTCCAGCTTGGAGGCGACAGCAGTCCATGGCTTAGGAGCCTGCTTGGAGTTCCGAGCTTCGGACGTCAGACTGCACTCACCTCTTGCTTTAGCAATTGCTCTGCTTGGCTCCGGGTCATATGCTTGGAATACCACCTGAAACAGGAAACAGCCCAAGGGTCCACGTCTGAACCCAGCCACCACAGGCCCACCTGTGCTTCCTCTGGCTGTCATTCATATACACAACACAGACGTTGCTACTGGAGTGCTTATGATGTGCACAGAAGGCATCATCCACTCCTTTCTCAGACCTTGGCTGGGATCAGAGGGACATGGAGGGAAAGAGATCAGGAAAGGAAGGGCTTGGGAACAACCCACTCCTGTGACTAGGAAGGAAAGCAGAAAGAATTCAGTCTGGGCTTGGCAGCCTTTCAAAAGTCTCATGTCTCATGGGGCAGCTAGGTGGCACGGTGGATAGAGCACCAGCCCTGGAGTCACGAGGACCTGAGTTCAAATCCGGCCTCACAGCAAACACTTGACACTTACAAGCTGTGTGACCCCATTGCCTAGCCAAAAAAACAAAACAAAATGAACAAACAAAAGTTTCATGTGCCATGGTGGCCCCCTGTTCTTGTAGCAATGAGCTATGGTTGCCAACTCATTGGAAATTTTAAAATGCATATTGAGAAAGGAAGAGAAATAGTCTCCTCCTTATGAAATACTGTAGCCAAAGGCCTTGTGCATACTTACTCATACATCTCAATGGAGTCTTCTGCCTCGGTGACATAGTTGTTAGGGATGTAACCTTCCCGTCTGCAAAGTGGACAGAGACATGAGTCACCCTGGGGCCATCTCTGCAGGGAGGGAGTTGGCCAGATGTGTGGCCCTGGCCTCAGAAGCTGAGCATCCCAATGGCAGAATCTCTATGTGTTTGGGATTGTGTTGGAGGCTTGTGTGTTCAGCTCTGTATAAGAGCATCAAAAGAGGGAATGAGAGCAGAGGGATTTGTGGTCTGTGGCTCCTCGCCCAATGGCACCTTCTTCGGAGGAGAGATGACAACTCTGGATTGTTGCTGACATGACTGGTTGGCAGGGGGGTTAAGGGGAGACTCTTACTCACAGGAGCCACACCTCTGTGCGGGCCATAAAAGGGTAGTACAATGCTCTCGTCTTTTGGGTCTTTTCCCAGATCAGAGAACAGGTCCGAACACCGCTTCATCAAATGGGTGTTCTGAAGGGGAGCAGGAAGCTTGTGTATGTGATCTCCTCCACCTCTAGGAACTAATAATTGCTAGCTTGGGGCATGAGCACATGGCAGTTATGTGACGTTGCCCATGAAAAATCCTGAGAAAGAACTTTTCCAATCCAAGAGATAACAGCAACTGGGATTATGACAGAGTTCCTTCAGAAGCACATGGCAGAGGCAGGCATGTGCTTGTCCACAAGGCCTGAGATGGTATGTCACGGACGATGTTCCTGAAATCCAACCTCTGTCTAGAGGGAGAATTTCAGTTTCCTAGGCGGCATGATCCCAGGATTTAGCCTTCTGACTGAAGGGGAGATTTCTTAGGCAGCACCAGACCTGGGAGTTCTCTCATGAGGAACCCTGAGTTCATGAGTTCAAGGATCAGACCTTCTAGAGAGAGGAGAATTTCTAAACATGCATACCTCTATGCCTCTTAGAGAAAGAGAAGAATCACCAACATGACCCCCAAGACTGGAGGAGAGCTGAAAGTGACTATGTCACCTCTACTACCCCATCCCCCACCCCCAGTACTTTAGTGAGTGATTCGGACAGTGTAGATTTGATAGGGAAGGGTCTGCTTGTGTGACTGCAGTCAGTCTTAAAATGATTTTGCCTTCCAAGGAGAGCTTCTGAATGATTAGAGGCTCTTTATGTGGGTAAGTTTAGGGGCTACTTGAGGGCCTTATGTGTTTTCTGGATCTGTTCCTGGACTCCTGTAAGTCCTTCTGGATCTTCTGCATTTTCTATGAAGTAAAATAAAGCCAAACCTATAAGCATTTATTACTTTGAGTACTCTGCAACCCATATTTAGGAAAACCTAGAAATGAGCTCTATGGAAGCTATATTTAGAAAACGGTACCATCTACCTGGTCTCATATCTCTTTTCCCTTTTGTGGGTGCCTCTATTTCCTTTCCTCTCACTCTCCTCTAAATCCTCTATAGTCTGGCTTCCGACCTCATTATTCCACTGAAACCGCTCTCTCCAAAGTTACCAATCATCTCTTCATTGCCAAAACTGATGGCCTTTTCTCAATCCTCATCCTTCTGACCTTCCTGCAGCACTGGTGATCACCCTTTTCTCCTTAAAATCTTATCCTGCCTAGTTTTTTTTATGACATGTCTCTCTCTTAGTTCTCCTCCTACCTGTCTGATCCCAGCTCATTTTCTCCTTTACTGGATCTTCACCTAGGTGCTGTTGTTACTGTTGTCCAGTCGTCTTAGTCATGTCTGACTCTTGGTGACCCCATTTGGGGTTTTCTTGGCAGCGATACTGGAGGGGTTTGCCATTTCCTTCTCCAGCTCATTTTACAGATGAGGAAACTGAAGCAAACAGGGTGAAGTGACTTGCCCAGGATCACACGGCCAGTAAGTGTCCGAGGCCAGATTTGAAGTCTGGTCTTCCTGACTCCAGGCCCATCGCTCTATCCACTCTATGCACTGAGCCACCTAGCTGTTGTATTCATTTAGGTAATACCCACTAACCATGAAGCATTCCCCAAGGCTCTCTTCTGAATTCCCTTCTCCCTCTATACTATCTCACTTGGTCTTTTCAGTTCCCATGGATTCAATTATCATCTCTATGCAGATGATTCTCAGAGCCACTTCTCCAGCCCTAAACTCTCTGCTGACCTCCAGTCTAGCATCTTCAACTGCCTATTGGACATTTCCAACTTGATCTACTACAGACATCTTAAACTCATCCTGTCTAAACTGAACCCATTATCTTTTCCCGCAAGCCCTCCCTGCTTCTTAACTTCCCTATTGCTATTAAGGGTTCCACTATCATCCTGCTCACCCAGGCTTACAATCTTGGTATCATCCTCAACTCCTCACTCTATCACTCTACCATCCCCCTCCCCCATGTCCATCCAATCAGCTTCCAAGTCCTATCGATTCTGTCTTTACAACGTCTCTCTCATATGCCCCCTTCTCTGCCCCCACCCTAGTGCAGGCCCTTATCACCTCATGCCTAGACTATTGCAATAGGCTTCTGTTATTGCTACAGGTCTGACCATGTCACTCCCTTATTTAATAAACCTGAGGGGCTCCCTATCACCTCCAGGATCAGAAAGAAAACCCTCTGTTTAGCTTTTATAAGCCCTCTCCAACCTGGCCCCTTCCTACCTTTCCAGGCTTCTTACCCCTTACTCTTGTCTGCATGCTATATGATCGTGCTCTTTCTGTGCTGGTGGAATGCTCAATGCCAGTGCTTCCCCCTGAGATCATCTCCACTTTACCCTGTCTAGATCTTGTGTGTACATAGTTGTTTGCATGTTGTCTCTTTCATTAGAATGTGAGCTCCTTGAGGGCAGAGGCTCTTTTTGCCCATCTTTGTATCCCCAGAGCTTAGCACAGTGCCTGGCACATAGTAGTTACTTTTAAGAAATGTTTGTGGACTTATCTTGACTTGATTCAACTGTCAGAGATCACAAATTGCAGAACAATTGCAGATCTGCATTGGTAGAGGGCACAGGGAACTCACTGGTATTTCCCTATGCCAATGAAATTGCAGGGTCAGACCAAAAATCAAAACAAACAAAAAATACCCCAAACTTCCAGGTAGGGCGCAGATCCTGACCACCTGGCTGATGCTTGGTGGAGGCCTGGGCCAGGGGCTATAGGATTCTTTGTGTGTATTTGGTGTTGAGTGGGTAAAAACCCTTTCTATCCATGATAACAAGGAGGTGGGATTAGACTGTCAGATTGTGTGACTGTGCCTGTGCCAGGATGCAGGTATGTACGGTTGTAGAATGGCTGGAATGGCCTCTCACCCGTTTTTGTCCCGAGCTCTCCACCAGGGCAAGGTGCTCTCCTCCAGGATAAAATACTCTTCACCCTTCTGCAGCTGCAGGTCATTTGCATTCATCGGAGTATAGTCATAAAGGGCAACAACCCTCTTGAGCTCATTTGTGGGGTTGGGACCTCCTATTGGCTCAGGAGGGAGTGGTTTGTTTAGAATCTATAGGGTGGGAAGTCAAAATAGGCAACATAAATAGAAATGGACCACCTTCCTCTCCTTCTCTTCTAGAGTGGTTTCCCAAGACTGTTAGCCCAAGTATTAGCCCAGGGGTGGGGAACCTGCAGCCTCAAGGCCACATGTGGCAAGTTTTACAGGAACAAATCCGATTTGTTCCTCGGTCAAAGGGCCGCCCTTGGTGACCTAGAGGGCCACATGTGGCCTCGAGGCCGCAGGTTCCCCACCCCTAGCCTAGCCCAAATCAGACACTCAGCTAGAAGTCCAGGAAGCCTAGCTTTTAGTCCCAGTTCTGCAACTTATTAGTTGGGTTGACTTTGGCTAATTTGCTTAGCATTTCTGGAACTCAGCTTTTTTCATCTATAAAACAGAGATAACTGCCTATGTGCCTCAGTATTATTTTTGTTATTGTTATTTGATCGTTTTTCAGTTATTTCCAATTCTTTGTGACCCTATTTAGGGTTTTCTTGGCAGAAACACTAGAGTGGTTTGCCATTTCCTTCTCCAGCTCATTTTACAGATGAAGAAACTGAGGCAAACAGGGTAAAGTGACTTGCCCAGGGTCACACAGCTAGTCAGTGTCTGAGGCTGGATTTGAACTCAGGAAGTTGAGTCTTCCTGCCTCCAGGACCGGTGCTCTACCCACTATATCACCTAATTGCCCCTCAAAATATTACTGGGAATATCAAATGAGACAAGGCATGTATGTGCTTCATTAACCACAAAGCACTGTATAAATAGTAGGAATTACTCAGATTTTAAGTGTGTGGCATCACCCAATGGCAGCTGGAGTGCTTTATAGCTCTCTACCTTTTTCTTTTTCTTTTTCTTTTTTCTTTTTTTTTTTTTTTTGGCCAGGCAATGGGGCTAAGTGACTTGCCCAGGGTCACACAGCTAGTAAGTGTTATGTGTCTGAGGCTGGATTTGAACTCAGGTCCTCCTGAATCCAGGACCAGTGCTCTATCCACTGCGCCACCTAGCTGCCCCTCTCTACCTTTTTCCTGCACTGGAAATGATGCCCCTAATTGTTTGGCTTCAAAGTGCCCAGTAAGAAGGCCATCTCTGGAATGTTCTCTGGTCCCCAACCTTTAGGATTCTAACTCAGCTCCAGAGTCAAACTGTTATTTCACTATTCAACCAGCATCCAAATCCAGGGTTCCCCTATACCTGGTCCTCTTCAGGGGTTGGAGGAAGAGGCTTTTTGGTCTTCCTGTGAGAGCTTCCTGGTTTTAAGCCTGAAAAATAAGAAACCAATGATAAGAAAGCAAGCATTCTGGGGAAGAGCTTAGAGGCAGCAAGGGTAGGTCAGCCACAGAAATAAGGGAGATAGGATACAGCAAAGCAACTAATGACAGGCCACTCACTTCCATTGCGATTCTCCAGGATTTGACAGCCCATGGCATTTTTAGCTGTCTGAGAGCAGCAGAGGTACTGCCCATCAATCCAGAAGCAAGGGTGGTATTTCTGTACAAGGTCACTGTTGTACCGGATCACTGTGAGGAGGCGAGAAGAGAGTAAGAGGTCATTTGGCAGGCTGGGGCCCCCCAGCAGTACTTCTGTAAGAGGACCCATGGCTTACATTTTTTCCCCCTTTGATTAGACTTAGCTTAGCTTCAACCAACTCTCCCCTTTCTCTCTCCACTGGCCTGATGACTAGTGTACTTTGGTCCTCACGTAGGCCTTAGTACTGGAAGATGTCTCAATGAACATCTGAATGCTATTGGATATTGTCCACAGAGCACAGGAACAGCATTTGACCTGGGTTTTCTCAGGCTGCTCTTACAATCATCCTGTGAAGCAGGTGCGAATTGGTTTGGCTTCCACTTTCCAGAAAAGAAACCCAATCCTCTCACTCTCATTTCTCATTAAATGCAATATAAGAAGCATTTGTTAAGTACCTACCATGGGACAGCTATTGTGCTAGGCGCTGGAGAGCCAAAGACAAAAAGTCAAGCCTCATTCTGTCTGTAAAGGATATTTGCCTTAGTAAGGATGGTGGGAGCTGGTCTGCGTGTTGCAGCTTAACTACCACATAGTTCAGCAGAAGAGAGCTCTGGGGTAGAGCCTGGGCTGTAAGTGTCAACCAGAATGACCATGCTGACTATGACAGTGGAAACAAAAAAAACCAAAACCAGAAGCTGAGCCCTGGGTAATTATAATGAGCGTGAATAAAAGGCTTTGTTCTGTAAAACTTGGACTCAGTCAAAGGGCTGCACTTGAGGACCTAGAGGGCCTTTCAAAGGAGGCACTGATGAGTGGGGAGAGCACAGGGAGTATCTGAAAGTGACCCACTGTAGTGTGCAAGGAATAGGCCAGTTTCTCCGGCTGGCCCAGCATGTTGGGGGCAGTGAGAGAAGGACGGGCCCACACTGGAGAGGACAGCCAGGGATGGGCTGTCTGCAGGAGAAAGCCAAGTTGCTTTTATCTCCAGAAGACAGAAGGAATGTAAGACACTGAAAATGGAGGAAAATCTGGCACAAATATAGTGGGTATTCCAGAGGGCACCACACAGAATTGCAGCCATTGGAAAGGCCGAGCTGGACAGGGGGTGAGTATAGGAAGAGGTGGCAAGGAAAAGAAATGTTTGTCTCCCGGTGGTCGGTGGTTCCAGATCACAGGAATTGGGAGCAGGAGGTAGAAAAAGGGCAGAGGAGTGCCAGCTGCAAAGAAGCTCCTTAGATCAAATCAGGCCTGAGGTTCTAAATGGAATGTTGTGAACATTGTACTCCCAACAAACTGGCAAAGATAATAGCAGATGGAAATGGTGTTGGAAGGGGCTGCAGGAAGACAGACACAATACCATACACTTGGAGCTATCAGCCAACCATACTGTAATTCAGTTTGCAATTATGTGATAAAAGTGACTTAATTGTTCATTCCCTTTGACCAAGAGATCCCCTAAGGAGGTCAAAGTCAGAGGGTGCCCATCAACTAGGGAAGGGCTGAACAAATGGGTGTGTTTCTCCTAGGTGGAGCCCCTGCCCTCTAGACCATTGGCACCAACTATACTTGGGGACAGCTAGATGGCTCAGTGGATAGAGCTCAGGCCTCGAGTCAGGAAGGCTGGAGTTCAAATCCAGCCTCAGACACTTACTAATGTTGTAACCCTGGGCAAAACACTTAAAGCCACTCCATGGATTGTAGGGTCCACAGGTCACACTTAGAGTTCTCGGGTTGGGCAAATGGGTCCCCAGAAGGGAGCAAAGTGGGTGTGGTTCAAGAAGGCTCCGCATGAGAATCGTTATGTTTATGAGGACAAGTGACTGTCATGCAATAACCCAACCGTACATTATCAGCCTGCCATCCTTCCTGTTTCTCTAGGCAACCTTTCCTGATGGTAATTCAGCCCCTTAATCTCTCAGTCCCTAACAGCCATGTAGCTATATATACACAAGTATACGTGCGAGCACGCATCCTGTGGAAGTTTCATCCAAGCTGTGCGCAGGGTCAAACTGGGGCAAAAGGCAGAAACTATGGGCTCTGATCAAATTTAGACCCTTGGAAGGTCCAGAATGGCTCAAGCAGCTCCCGAGATGAAGAACCACCCCCTCCCCTTCATAGTGCTTAGATCCAGCATGGCGTGGGCTCACAGCCTCACTTTATACTATTTGTGTGTTCTTGGGCGAGTCCCTTCCCCTCTCTGGGCCTTGGTTTCCTCCTTCTGTCAATTGACAAGACCTTAAAGGGCTCTTCCAGCTCCATAACCTGTGATCTTGCTGTGATAGGACTCGCCCAAGAAAGGGGGAAGGCCCAGTCTTTGTTGGGTGTCCAGGAGTGAAGTGTCAGTGGAGGGACAGAATGGAGCACGAGGTCAGCCTTGACTATGAGCCCATTCTCATGTGAGCAGTTTGAGGCTCACCGTTTTTGAGCTGGTGAATCCAACGCTTCCTCAACTCTTCCGTTGGGGAGAAGACGTAGAGGGGACCCTCGTCATACACCACCTGGGGAGTGAACAGAGCCACGACAGTTAGACCTCAGGGCAAAGAAGGACGATCTGCAGTTCCCACTCCATCTAGGCATGGAGACAATCAGAGGGGTGCAGGGCTTCCGTCAATGGAATGGGCTCAAATCACCAGGAAATGGTTAGAACTCAATAGCCATTATTCTAGGCATACAAGTTCTATACTTATCAATAACAACAACAATAATAGCTAGCACTTATACAGTGCTTTACAATTTGCAAACCAATGTGCATATGTGTGTATGTGTGTGTATATGTGTGCTTGTGTGCATTTGCATGTGTATGTATGCATGTATGTCTGTGTGTGTGTGTGTGTGCACGTGCGCGAGTGTGTATCTCAGTTGATCTTCACAATAACCCTGAGAGATGCTATTATTATCCTCATTTTACAGAGGAGGAAACTGAGGCTAGGAGGGACTAGGTGACTTGCCCAGGGTCACACAGCTAGTAAGTGCCCATCAATCAACAAGCATTTATTAAGGACCTACTGCATGCCAGCCCTGGGGATACAAATGGGAATAATCTATACTCTCTAGAAGCTTCCATTTCAGATTTCTGTTCTAGATTTCCAAATGATCTCAGGGCCTCCAGATAAGTTGTTTAGTTTCAGGGTAGTTTAGGGTCATAATGTTTATCCTTGTCAGGGTAGGAGCCTCCCCTACCCAACCCCCAATGTTTTATAATCATGGCTCACAGATTTTAAGCTGAAAGGGACCTTCCACCTCCCTCAATTTAGAGATAAGAAAATTCTCTCCAACACAGACCCCTAGAGGTTAAGTGTCTGGCCCAAGTTCACCAAGTGGTGGTGCCAGGATTAAAACCCAGGACCTCCTCCTTCCCAGCACATACTGTTCCTCACTGCCCACACTGCCTCTTTCTCTTCATCTGATTTTTAAACTCTGAACTCAGGAGAGGGGGGTGGAGGTCATGATTAGTAGGAACTCAACTCTTGACTATCCACAGAAAACATTTACTCCTAAACTGATTCCTTCCTATTGCTGTCTAAGTGGCATGAGTATACTCAGGACAAGAAATGTATTGTAACTGAAATGAAAATAAAGGGGCAACTAGGTGGGACAGTGGATAGAGTGCTGGGCCTGCAGTCAGGAAGACCTGAATGAAAATCAGGCCTCAGATACTTTCTAGCTGTGTGATCCTGGGTAAGTCACTTAACCCTGCTTGCCTCAGTTTCCTCATCTATAAAACAAGCTGGAGAAGGAAAAACCAAACCACCGAAATATCTTTGCCAAATGTGGTCCTGAAGAGTGGGACAGGACTGGACAACAACGAGAGTAAATCATAATTGGGAAGATCACAATTGTCAAATAGATCTGCACACACTTGTAAGGCCCCAATGCCAGGTGCTGTGGGAGAAAGAGCCCAAGATAAGACCTGCTTTCTGTCCCTGGGGAGCTGGGGAGCATCACATGGTGAATTGGGAAGTCAGAGAGAAATGATTTGGGGGTTACTGCTGCTTTGTATCCCTGAAACTGCCTGTCTCCATTAGCACTCCGAGGGGAAAAGACAGCAGTAGGATAAACCCTATCTAAAAAAGGCCGCCGCTTCCTCGGCTCCTTTCTCATCCAAGAAAGGGAACAAGGGGCCCTCATTCACCCTGGCTTTGTTACTAGACCTTTGCTGTGCTCCTGCAACCATGACTGAGAGGCCCCCCTTCCCCTTTGCCTTCCCCTGCCTGCCTTCCCCGCCCCCTTCCCCCTTCAACTTCCCCCACCCCTCTTTGCCCCCCCTTCCCTCTCCCTTCCCCTATGCCCCCCTTCCCCCCTTGCGTCCCCCGCCCCCCTTCCCCACTCCTCCTGAGGGGCACTTCCGGTTTCTTCTCTGCCTCTCAGGGCCTTAGAGACGGCTGTGTTTCTGCTTGTAGAACAAAGGAAAGCCAAGTAACACAGAAACAAATCATTTGGGGTACTTTTCACTGTGCTCAGCTTAGTCTGTGCTCCCTGTGCTTGCCAGGTCAAGGCTCAAACTGAATCAGGGTTTAATGGTAAACCCAATAGCACCCCCTTATTGAATGGGAAGCCCCCAGCCCTAATCCACTTGCTGATTTTTCCAATTCACAGGACCAGCAATAGGGAGAGGCAGCTTTGGAAGGAAGTGAAATTTTCAGTCACCAAATGGGCTTAGTGTCACCACATGTCAGTGACAGGAGCCAGGGAGCACTGGAATGGATGTGGTCAAAGCTCTCTTCCTCACTGCCACGCAGAAACTCAAGGTGCTGCCATCAGTGAGGGTAAAATCATGCAGATAATAATCCTTAGCCTGTGCCTGTGCCATTTCTCACCCTGACTTCTTGGCCCACCCACAATCTCTGCTCCCTAGAGATTTGTAAAACGATGAAATTGGCCCAGCTGCCTACTAGGGTCCCTTCCAGGCTGACCATAGTGTGGACGGGGAAGGAGGACTTACCTGAAAGGGATAAGGGAATCTCTCAATAATAGAAATCTGCTCCATCTCACCGGCCTCTTCCCCCTTTCTCTGCAAGAAAAAGAGATTGAGGGCATGTGCCCTCACCTGTTAGCCCAAGCAGGTTCTGACTCACAGGTAAAGTCACGCTTTAGCGGGCCCTGCCCACAACCTTGTCACAGGGGCACCAATCCAGAGGGCTCAACACAGCCAATTTCTTAGGTTCTTTGGTCTGTCCAGGCTCGGAAACATGAAAGGGGAATGTATAAGGCTGTCATCAAAGCCACAGGGAGAACTGCATCCAGGCTAGCTGAGGATGGCAATGAGGACACATGACCTCCCCCAGGGATCCAAGGACTAGGCCTCTAATTCAGTCTCTGGGAGATAGAGGGAAGAACATATTCTGCAAGGCGCCTGGGGGGATGACGAGGATCTCCTGCTGCACACCGGCTGACAGTGAGCTGGAGCTCCTCAGTTCTGGGAGTCAGGGAGGGAGGTGGGGTGGAATTCCTGGGGTCCCAGTGTCAGTCCCCTCCAGCTCCACAACACGCTAGAGCTTAGGACCCAACTGCTATCCTGTTCTATACGTCATAAGATACTGCAAGAGGTAACATGACATAGTAGACAGAGAAGTGACCTCAGAGTCAAGAAGGCCATATACTGGCTGTGTGACCCTCCCCCAGTCACCTCACCCCTCAGTGCCCTAGGGCAACGTTCTCAAAATGGAAAGTTCAGAGCAGATGTCAATCTGTTGGTAGAGAGAATTTCTTCACCAAGAATTCCCTACACTGATGAAGTCACAGGTCCCTTCCTCTACCCCATAATATATTCTCTTCTCCTCTCCTCTCCTCTCCCCAGTGCTCCAGAGGTGTCAAACATGCTCACAGGCCCAATAATCCCCACTAGGATTGGAAGCAGATTAAAGTGTCATTGGGAAATATACAACAAAATAAACATACAATAGGATATACATAATGTTAATTTGTGGTTTTCTAAGTCAGGCTGTTCCCACAGAGATCCTTACTTATTGTTTAGTGACCCCTATTTGAATCTGACACCACTGGGCTACATACACCATCTAAAAATTATGACATTGGTGTTGGGGAACAAAGATAACAACCATGTTATAAAACTTTATATCCTTTAGTGAAAGAGATACTGTGTATCCTAAAAATGCTTGTTGAATTGAACTCATCTCTATATTTTGAGAGGACATTATGCCACCCAAAAGGGGTGGTATCACAAAGTAACTTATTTTTAGTGTACTCATATTGTACATGGAGGCGAAGATGAGCTTTGCTTATTGACTGGATTAGGCTGGAATACTCTGGGTCCTTTGAGCAGCACAGGGTGGGTGGACAGCGAAGGTGGCCTGTTCTCACCGGGATCTGCCGCTCAGGGGGAGGATTTTTTTCAGGAACCACTGTTTCAACACAGGTGATCTTCTCAATGTCTACTGAACCCTTTTTACTTCCTCGTCTCTGAGAAAGAAAACAAAGAAGTGAGCAAGGTGGAGTTGCTGAAAGTCATGAAGAGACAGGAATGACTAGATTTTGTCATCTGAATTCCATCACCAATATCAGAGAATCTGACAACTTGCACAAGTCTAGGGGATCCTCTGACCTGCCATCGTTGTGAGTGAACGCACTTGCTTACATTCTGGGAATGGATGAATGAAAAGGCACCAACTATGTGCAAAATCATCTGCAAGATGCCAGAGGTCTGTAGAAAAAAGAGCAAGCCAGCCCTCACTCTAACAGGAAAAGACAGCAGATCCAGCTCCTGGCCATTGGGATCATCAATAACACTTAGGAAACACCCACTAAGAGGCAGTTGGGAGTAGTGGTCAGATTGCTGAAGCTGCAGTTAGAAGACAGGATTCGAATCCTGCTCCTGATACACAGTTAGTATGTGACTATGGGCAAGTCACATGTTTGTAAGCCTTGGTTTCCTCCTCTGTAAAATGAGGCAATAATACTTGCAGCCTCTTCTCACCAGGTGAAAGGGAGGCTCAAGTGAGCTAAATGGATGGAAAGTGTTTTGCAAACTTGAACAGACCCGCCTTGGCCGACTCACCCCACGCTCAAAGTCATACTCATAATACGAGAGTTTCTGAACGGTCAAGAGAAAGAGTCGTTTCTTGAAGTTCAGAGGGGAGGTCTTCTTTTTCTGCTGTGATCGCTTCAGGAAGATGCTTTCTAGGATTACTGCAGCCATGTCTTCTCCTCTCCTCTCCTTTCCCCAGTACTCCTCACCTGTGGGCACTAGAAACAGAGAACTGGTGAAGCACCCAGCCGACTACCAACTGGCCTCCCTTCATCCTTGGCCCACCTCAAGGGGCCCCATTTTCAACAGTAAAACCACCATGGGCAGCTAGCCAGGTGCTTTCACTGATTCCTCTCTTGCTATAGCGCCTACTGGGGCAACTCCCGGGCAAAGGAAGTTTCAGGGTAAACTTCCCTACCATCAGGAGGCTCTGTTACCCTGGGTCATTGTAGAAGTCGATTGATTATCCTGGATACTGAATCCACTTGTCTGCTCTCCAGATACCAGAGAAGCAGACCTACATCGACACCGTCAAGGCTCGTTTTATATGTAGCCTGTGAACAAAGATAATTGTGTGTAGCTATTGATCCTAATGGTCGCCTCTCTCACCAATCCCCTCCCCTCCCACCACCACCAAGAGATCAGGAATTTAACACAGGAATTTAAGTTCTATTGCCTGGATAGTGTATTTAATTGTTTTCATGTGGTGGCATCCTGTTGGGGTCTATAGCCCAGTAGGATCTGGGGAGGGTGAGGGAACACACCTATGGATAGGAGGTACAATTAACTGCCTCCACACTGATCCTGGGCAGTAAGGTGGCGCTATACTGGATAGAATGCCAGCCTGGAGTCAAGAAGACCTGAGTTCAAATTCAACCTCAGATACGTACTAGCTGTGTGACCCTGGGCAAGTCACTTCACCCTGTTTGCCTCAGTTTCCTCATCTGTAAAATGAGCTGGAGAAGGAAATGGCAAACCACTCTGATATCTTTGCCAAGAAAACCCCAAATCCCAAATGGGGTCACAGAGAGTTGGACAGGACCGAAACGACTGAACAACGTCACCACACTGATCCCGCCTGAGCTGAAGGAAAGAAAATGCGAGCTCTGGGATTTTCCTGGGGATCAGGATGTGACATCCTTATTCTTGGAGCTATACATAGTGACCAATTTTAGCAGTAACAAGAGCAATAATAGCACGCTGATTCCAAAATGTAAGATCACATGACTGCCCCAATGTGGTGGTAACTCTCTGCTCTGATCCTATCTTCCATCTCAGATGTCTGAGCCGTGTATGACCAGGAAGTAACTTAGTGATTCTCGTGATACCCTAGTGAGGGAGGCATGGCCGATAATCTTACTCACTACTCTTTTGGAGAAATGAACTGAGACAGAGAAAGGTGACAAAAGGTGAAAAGTGAGTTGGCCCTCAGGTCCAGGAACAAAACAATGCTTTTTCAAAAGGTATTTTTTTAAGATTGAAGGATGCCTTTTGTTTTTACATTGCCGTCATTTCTAGATGTAGCCCTTTCCATCTCTCACAGTTAAGCCTTCCCACTTACCAAAGGAAAACCTTTAAGCAGAACCAGCACAGCAAAAGTGCATTCAACCTTATGCATCCATAGGCCCCAACCTCTCCATAAAAGGAAGGAGGTATTTTAATTTGTTCTTCTCAGGGGCCAAGACTAGACATTATATCTTTTGTTCTTTTCACAAAGCAATACTTTTTATCTGTCACTCGCATTGGCACTTACAAGAAATGCTCTATTATTGACTCCAAAATACTAAAGTTTCCATTAGAAAGGTGAAGGAGAAAAGCATCATGGGAATAGTAAATAAGTGCTAGAAATTGGTTGGCTTTTTTAATCACCTCTCTCCCTGTAGGGGCAGAAAGGACCACCTAGTCCAATCTTCTCACTTTACAGAGGAGGAAACAGGCCCCAGGAGTTCAAGTAAGTTGCCCAAGACAGCATATAGAATAGGTGGTAGAGCTGAGATTCCAACTCACTGGGATTCCTCCCACTGGGCCACACTGCCTCCGACATCTGGTCTCATTAGAGTTGGCCCCTCATTCCAACCTGTGTGGATCTTCTCGGATCCCGATTCAGCCACCTAATTAATTTAGCTATCCTTCCAGCTTCATGTCCCTGCACATCACATATGCAGGTCACTTGGATCTTTAATCAAGCTGTTGATTTAAAAAATAGCAAGTGTATTACTTGCCTTCTCAAGGGGTGAGGGTGGGGTGGCAGAGAGGGAGAGAATTTGGAAATCAAAATGTTTACAAATGAATGTTAAAATTTTTAAAAATGTATTTGGGAAATATTAATGAAAGCATTAAAATATTTTTAAAAGAAAAAAAAATATCAAACAGAACAGGGCTAACCAGAACATAGTCCTATGGCACATTGCTAGAGACTTTTTTCCAGGTTGACATCCATCCAATAATCAGCACTCTTTAGATACAGTTGTTCTGGAACAAATCTTACTGCTTTTTTCCCTTCTTTCTGCTGATTACCTCGATTTTTCCTATGGCCTCATGAGTAGGCAGAACCTGCCACAGCTAGACCTGGAAGACAAAGGGGAATAGCTGCTGGGTGAGGCCTTGAGATGCTCACATAGTAACCTACGGGCTCCATGGCAACCTATGATTTACCTAAGGGAACAAAGACAAGGAGACCGTTCAAAACAGCAGGCTCTAATACAGCCCTGAGATTGTGTGGGTGGTAGAAAGAACACTGAAATTAGAGTCCAAGGACATATATTGAAATCCTGGTTCTGCCACTTTTTATCCAGGTGACCTTGGGCAAGACACTTCATTCTCTGGACCTCAGTTTCCTCATCTGTAAAATAAGGGGACTGGCCTCTAAGATCCTATCTAGCCCCAAATCTACGACCCTATGATCTGTTCCTTTTCAGCTTTACTATGATATATCCCGATGCCTCATGGCACTGATGTGACCTTAGTGGGATGGTCCTCAAAAGCAACGTCAGTGGAGCGGTAAGCTCTGGCAGGTTCTACCATGTTGGACCTGGTCACAGGTGATGTTTGTTTTCTGAGGACCAGCCAAGCTAAGTACAATAAGGCCCATCCCAAATGGAGAGGGACAATTTGGAAATAAATTCTCTGACCACGGCAACCCATGAAATATGGGCAATCCAACCATGTTCAGCAAAAGAAACCCAGCATGTCAGGGTTGGATGGGACCTCAGACAGTTAGTCCAACCTCTACCTGAAGCAGGAATTCCATCTTCAAGGTCCCTTACAAATGGCCCCTTCAGCCAGAGCTCCAGTGATTGGGAATTCAGTACGTCAAAAAGCAGTCAATTCCTTCTGGGGATGGCTCTAATTGTTAAGTTTTTCTTTATGCTGAGTCAAAACTTGAGAATTGTTCTAATGACCTCTAGATGACCTACATAACCTTTTAACTGGTCTCCCTACCTCTGGTCTCTCTTCCAAACAATCCTTCATGGCACTGTGCGTCTCCTTTAAAGTAGCCCTTTTACAACATCATTCCTTAGCTCGACAATATACGTGCTGACTTCGAGCTGCTTCTCAGATCAAGGTGAAGCTTGCCCTGGGTTTTCCAACCTGAAGATTGTTCCCAGCCCCCAAAGGGGGGTTGCTATCTTCTGTTGCCATCATTGTGAATGGAGAGGCTTTGAAAGGGACATCGACTCCCCTCTAGCCTGTGTCTTTTGTGCCTTCCTAATGCGACTCTTTGCTTGAATGCATTTCCACAGTCCCAGAATAAATGCTCAGTTGGCAGACAAAATGTTCAACACTAGCTGTGCTCACAGGTTGCAGCAAGGGAAACCTTGTTCTTTTTTGTTCTCTTCCAGGGTCTTGCCCTTCCTGATGCTCCATTGTGAAGATTAATAGATTTCTAGAACTGCCTGATCAGGGGTAGAGAAGGTAGCTGATGGACTAAGGTGGGTCTGAAATGATTTCCAATCAGCTCCCGGGAGAAACTCCTGAGATCAAGTTTGGGGATTCCTTGACCTTATAACCTGGAGAACAGGCAGGGGGCTCTGCAGGGACTCTGTGGTGGCTACTCAATTCACCTAGGCTTGGTGGGCTTGCAAGAAGGCCAAATACAGCTCCACTAAAGCCCAGCCAGGATGAAGAGTTAAGGACAAAGCTAGTGATGGAAGGAAGGCCTCAGTGCTGCCCCTAAAGCTTCCTCAAATTTGGGGTCTGACTCTGACCAAGAGCAGTTCTCTGGCATTCCAGAGGCCACGTTAGGGCTCATGTGATGCAGTGCCAATTCCTGAAGGTCTTGGGGCTGCTGCTCCATGGTTAGCAATGTTTCACAGGTTTCTTTTGTGGCTTTGGTAGCTTCTCGACCACTGGGGAGCTTCCTTTCCCCTACCTTGCTTGGGTGGATGGGCTCCTACAGTGTGGTGAGAGCACTGCCAGGTAGCTAATTTGTCAGTTTTGCATATGGCAGCAGAGGGGTTTAGGTACTCTTGAACCTAAAACTGTATGCCCCTCTCTGCCCTGGTGTGGCACTCAGGCTCTAGGTTTTTCTGGCTCCATTTTGGTGGGACCATGTGGCTCTTCATTCTACTTTAGTGTGCCTGGCTTCCTCCTGGGCCTCTTGTACCTGCCCATCTTTTGCATCACGTCTCGGTGTTTCTCCACTGTTTTCACTCTCATTCTTTCTCTTCAGTCTCTCTTTCTCCACTGGCTCCTTCCCATTTGCTTATAAACACGTTCAGGTTTGCCAGGCCCTAAAAAATGTGTTCCCTTTATCCTCCTGCCACTTCTCCACCCAACACCCCACCCCGTGTCTATCTCTTTCTAGCTTTTCTTTTCTGGCTTCAGAGAGATCACGTTTTTCTGGTTTACTTCCTATCTCTGTAACCATTCCATCTAGGCCTCCTTCCCTGATTCTTCATCCTTTTTTCCAACACCTTGATTTGGATGTTCTCAAAGATTTTGCCTTTGACCCTCTTTCTTCTCTTTTCTCTCTCTTTCCGCTTCTTCATAAACTCATTTACTCCCATGGCTTCAATTGCCACCTCTAAATAGCTGACTTCTAACCTGGGAAGTGCCAATAAATGTTTAGCAACCAGCTCTCTGAAAAAAGTACCCATGGCACATTTTAAAATTGAATCCGCATCATACATATTTTACGTCCAGACAATCAACAGAACAATAAACCAAGCCCTGATTTATGGCATTTGCTCTCACAAGCCAGTTCAAGCTGGCTCGA